CCCCCAACTCCTCATGGCATGGGCTGTACACTCTTATTCGACCAGCAAATGAGCTCGAATCACTCTGGATTGTGCAAGATGACTCTAGGATGAAAGGGACTGGAGGTTAAATGCTTCCCCAGGCACTTGTATGTTCCGTAACTCTGCATGGTCAACGCCTTGCAACGGCACTATGCATGGTTTCAGGACGAGTTCATGGTAACGAATGATCATCCGGCCTTGAAGTTTTCAATCATTACATACCTGTTAAGATACCGCCGCACGCCGGCACAAAAGCTGCAAATCCTTACCAAGTCACTGACCTGAGATGGGTCAGGAGAAGAGACCATTTTTAAATACTTCCAATGCCGTCATTCACTAAAACCTTGGATAAAACTGCACCGCGTCACTCTCTCCATCCCTGTTCAGATACAGCGCACTGCAGGGATATGTAAGAAGGGTTTGAAATGAAAAGCATGTACTTGCCTTCATCTTAACATCTCACAATGTGATTTACATCGGTCGTTCAATATCAACCACTGAAGCCATAGATGGGTAAATTCAGGGATAATCATCATTTATGACACAATCATCCATAACTCCAGCCTGTAATACACTAAAACAACGGTATGTCAGATGTGCTGTAACCGGCAGCAGCAGCAATGAAGGTGAGGCAGCGTGAGCGCGGCCATCAGGAGCTTTGCAGAGCACAGCAGGAGCCAGAGGTCAGAGGTGGGCTCGGGTGCGGTGCCACGTTCTCACAGCGACGCACTCGATTCCTAGCGATCAATCTTCACTCCCAGACCGCTGTCACACCACGCACCTTCGCATGCAAGATGATGTTACACCACATGCACGGCACCAATTCACAATAAAAGAGCGATGTCTGCTTGAAACGAAAACCTGAAATCTTTACTTAACGTTTTGCTGTTCTGTAAACATGGGACGGTATTGTTTACAACACAAAGCATCAAAATCTGTCGGCCTTAAAATGTTCACATGATATTCAAATAAGAGCGATAAATTGCCGAACAACAACATTACTTCACTGGCAAACAGAGAAGACGAGTATGAAACTGTTTCTTCGTAAACCTCAATAAATCTTCATGAGAACGCGCTTCCAATACACAAAACTGCACCGCACTGTGGTCACTACGGGAGCCATCACACCACTTCGACTGGGGAGGTGAGAGTGCAGGGGATGGCAGTGGAGTTGAATCAATGGAGGGAGTGCAACTGATGATCCTGGGATTAATGGGACTGGAAGCTTGATTAAAAAACAACATCCACTGCAGATCACCCGCCGAGTTTACTGTGCTCCCCTATATCCCCTATCCCCTATCCCCCTGTTATCCCTCACCCTGACGACGCCTCTGTCGTCGACTTCGCCTGACGCCCCTGAACGCACCACTGGCGCCAGCTGATGGACGCAGCGAAGGTCAGCTCGATGCGGAACACGGCGGGCAGACACGCCAGTGACCCCGTTATGCGATTATTTACATGCGGTAAATCGGAGTCCAGAGTGAAACATACACCAGCTGGGCTCGCTTTGAAGCACACATTCTGGTAAGGACCCTGTTTGTAACAGAACCAGCATTGCCAGAAAGTGTCGTTATGAAACTGCACGCCGGACGGAGCTACTCACTCGAATTCATACCTTAGGTCATCCACAGCGAAATTAAGAGCTGCCAGTGTATATTTCGGCACGCTGATGGTCGATCTGACCTGGAACCTTTCCCATAGAGGTACCATATACTGTACCGAAGTTAATTCTCTCCATGCATCGCTATAGGCATAATGCTCATCTTTCTGGGGAGTGGAGCGCACCCACGGCTCCGCCCTATACGCCAGAAGAGATACCTGCAAAACACGCAAAAACGGGAAGCCACCGCATCTTTATCGTTCTACACCCGAGTCTTGAAACCAAAAGTAACTGAATAGCTGAGTCAATGAGCAGTTTGAAGTAACAGGTCATTACACCGTTACTTAAGACGCAGTGTCGGTGCTTTACGGAGCAGCGAAGTGACGGCTCGTGCCCCTACGTGGCCCCGCGTGGCCCTGCCCTGGGGTGCTATTGACGCCGTCCCGGTGGGCGCGGGCCGCGCGGAACCATTTGGAATCCGAGCATCAACACGCGTCGGCTTTCGTTCACTTGCACAGCGGTCCAACGCTCGGCAAGCAGCAAGCTCTGCCCAGCAGCTAGCACGTGGTCTCGCCAGCGTAGCGGACCGCGCGCCGCTGGTGCGGGGCCTCATCACCGCAACGGGTGAGAGTGCGGCTGCAGCGGATGGGCGCGAGCACTGCCAATTGGTGGCCACTGTTCTCATTCACGCGGTGGGACTGGGAGTGGGAGGACGGTGGTGGGGCGCTACTGAGATCTCGCCCGTGCTCATGAGTCCCTCGGTCAGAACGGACCTGCAATTACGTCCTGGTTTAGGACCATGTATGTCGCATGTTATGACCAGCATGTTGTGATAACGCAACACACGACGCCACATAGCAGCTGTCAAATATTACCACACAAATTCAGGTCATCTACCAGATACCGTTAGCCTTGTTCCCCGTATAATAACCAAGATTAATGAGATACAGACTTAGTTATATTTCTATTAGTTTCCTTGATCGAAATGAATATGATTCTACACTCATAGTGAAATGCTCATAATCGTTTCGATAACGGCATGTAGCAGAAATATCAATATACCTATTTCTCCTTTCTCCCGGTTGTTTTGCGACCAACAAGGCTAAAAGTGGTGGCTATAAGAGATATTATGTCGGGCCACGACAGGTAGCATGTAGATAAAAAGCCAAATGCAGAATAATGACGGGCATTATCACAACAAACATTTATACATTTCTTGCATGTGACCCCGCTTGACCTAAGATGGTTCGACCTAACCGTATTCTGTAAAAATGCATTGTCGTCTAGTATGGCCTGCAGCGAGATAATATATGGGAGTATTGACGCACAGGACGTGAAAGGCACACACTAACATCTCTAAAACGCATATCTACAAAACTGGGGCATCGGTCGCCGGAAGGCAAAGGCCATTGGCATGACGTCAAAAAGGCGTCACTTCGCGGACTACGAAAAGTGAGATGCTCAAATTTTCACAAAAGACGTTCATCTATTGGAAACAATGCAATATTTTTTCAATCAAGAGTTTTCAGAGTCGGGTTCTTAGCGGTCCAACGATACTCAAGTCAAAGCTCAGGCAGTTCTCGTCCGGCGTGGTTAAATAGCAGTGTTTTTGGGCTTGAATAAAAAGTACATACATCAAACCCAAACTTTAAAAAGGCTGGAAGCTGGCATTCATGTCTGCATGCCGCATTGGAACGGTACTCATGTAACAAGGATCAGCTCGGGCCAAAGTTTCACATAACATAGTCGACACAGGTGTTTCGAGGCCTGCTTCAAAATATTGTTGGATATGGGGCCAACCCCTTAACCATATACCGACCGTCACGTTTGCCAATTCATTTTATCTGCCTACGTGCTTCATGACCGCTTCTGAAGTTACATCCTCCGCGTGAACTGTTCTATGAGCATACGTATCTATATATGATAAAAGGTATAACCATGCTGCATTCATCTCGCAAAAAGGCAGTACCTACATTCAACTAGCGACTGCAATTTGTATATAAACCACCAAAATGGTTGGGCTATCAAGTTGTTTACTCAGGGCCATGCTGGTGATCGCATAGCAGTGGCCATGCTGGATAAGCCAGCGGGGTGGGTCCCGAGTTCTGAGTATCGGCCCGGCTAGCTCTGAACCGCGCCATCTCTGGCATTACGTAAGCCGAATCCTCAGATCAACGAATACGCCCCCACGACGCTTGCGCAGCACATCAAGAATATTCTCTTCTACGCAGCGTCACGAAGAATCTGTGTCGAACGTGTTCGCAACGTGACGAGTTTTTTGTTTGTTTAACCTTTGTGACTTTAATGGCAGTAACCGCGCATGTAATATATCAGCATTCACATTCGCACGAACCACGCATGCTCCTAACAATGAAAGCTGCAAAGTATACTGTTTGCAACGTATAATATACCCTTCATCATGTGCCGTAGGTCCCGGGCGCACAAACTGTCCTGTTTATAATTGAATCTGTCGCGTCATTTCTGGCTCACTTCGATCGAAGAGCTGAAAAGATTCCGCGCGTCTGGCACAGATTCGCAACAGCATGGCAACGTTTAGAACTTTTGTCGCCCGGGTCGCTGCGAACACTAAAAGGCTCAGCATCCCTGGGGTTTGGCGTCATGAATGACGTCAAAGGCATAAATTCTTCGTCGTCCGGGTCGCTGCGAATACAACCCTGTTCTGGGCCTCTGCGTGTGTGGCTGGCTGCGGTTCGAAACCAGTGCTCGGGTGGTGCCGCCTGGACCGACGACGCGGCTGGCTCGGGTGGTGCCGCCAGGACGGCGACGTGGCTGGTTCGGGTGGTACTGCCTGGACCGGCGACGTGGCTGGCTCGGGTGGTGCCGCCGGTGCCGGCAGCGGCATCTGGCTCCGGCTCGCCGCTGTCCAGACGGCCAGACACAGCTGGGAACGCAGTCCGTGCCTCCCTGCGCTCCCTCATTCGCGCCCCTTGACCCCGGGACGAGACGCAGGCGTCGAAAGGACCAATGACGCGACAGCAGCGGCATCAGGCACCGGACCGCTCGCCAGAAGCAACGGAGAGCGCCGCAGGGGCCGCACCGGCGGGGCGCAGCGACCGGGTCAGTACGGGTCAGCAGGCTCCCAGCATATACAACAGGGCGCTCCTGCTTCACCACGTGCCACGATCTAAGCGTAGGACGCTGTTAAACCCGCCGGAAAACCCCACGTGCCGAGGGCGAGCGGCGGTCGCAGCATCGCGCCCTGCTTGTCGCCCCGACGGCGCGCGCTGGCCGTGCCGCCGGCCGACGCGCTGGCGGCGCCCGTGCCGCGCTGTATATGTTATCAGGGCGACCGGCGCGACCGGCGCGTCTCTGGCGGACGCCGCTCTGGTGGGCTGATCGTCGGGCGACTGGTGCGACGCGGGGTGCGCCGGGTCCAGCTGAAGACATCACCCTCGCCGGCCGGCGCACGTCGGCAGCTGGTGTCGCTCTGGTGAACCACCCGCGGTGGTGCTGCCGATCAGGGCTCGCTGGCGGAGCCGTGAGCGTGACCGGTCGCAGCGGGGCCACGGGGGGAGCGCCGACCGGCCGCTCGCCGGCGTCGCTGCCGATTGGCATCCCTAGCGGGCCGCTGAGCCGCCACCCAACTGCCAACGTCGCTTGCCCGAGCAGTGCTGCAGTGCCGCCGCGGGCCGCTGAGACACGCCACCAAACGCCGCCGAGGGATCCCCGGCCAGGATGGGGCCGCCCGGTGTTCTGGGGGCGCTCGGCCTTCTGCTGGTCATCCCGCTCGCTGTGTCTCAAAGTAAGTCCTCGCGCGCTGCTGTATTGACTGTCGGTCAGTCGCTCCGGCGCGACGCATCTCGTACTGAGGGATCCAGGTGCGTCCTGAACGGTGGCGTGCTCATGTTTTATGTTCCTGTTGATAAGAAGGGATTCCCCAGCACAGGTAGAGTCACGGGTGTCACTTTTTAAAATCGGTTGGAGAAAGGGAGACTCAGCCGATCAGGTCGACGTCACCTACTCCAAAAACATAAGTTTCCCCGAATCTCGGCCATGTTAATTTGAATCCCTCATGTCATGGCATAACAAAAGGAAACTCGTCGTTTCGAAAATGGGGCGTACCACCGTCGATCATGGGCCGGATAACCGACTACCTACAGTAGACTCAGTTGCTACGCATCCTGGACCCCCAGGGGCGCCATCTGGAGCACCTTTTGTCTTCGTCTCTTGTCGTCACGGTTTGACGGATCCGGAATCACCGACGATCACGGTAGTCGCTGTTCGTGTTTTGCCACCCAATTAGCAGTTGAATACTACTGCAGCCACTATTGTGTGGTAAGCACACCTGCCACTGTTAGGGGAAACACGGGGCATCTTTGTCTGAGCCACCTTGTACTTTCAAGAGCTGCCACTTATTGCAGTTGATTGTTCATTATCCTATATTTTTAGTTTACGGGGAAGATTTTCTCGGAGGCTGCCTGGACAAAATAGGGGCTCCTCATAGAGGGGCCTCCTGGGCTGTATGCTATTCAAGGATGGGAGGCAGCACGTGCCCCCTTATTAAATCGGGTATATGTCATTGCCGTTGCATGAATACTATCGAAGTAAACAATGTTGGCAATGAAAAAAGTAGCGTAGGGGCTTTCCGACCAAACAACTGTCTCGCCATCCTAAAACAGGACCTCTTGTGTCAGAAGAGTGTCTTTTGATGTATAGAGAGGCACCTTCTCCAGAACAGGATCCTTCGATTCACAAAGGGGTCTTCAGGGGAAAAATCTAGCAAGGGTCCTCATTATCCAAAAACGGTGTACCCTGATCAGGAACTGCGTCCATTTGGTGCATGAGAGGGCCTCCGTTCTAGCAATGTGGCTCCTGAATAAAGAGTATGCCTCATAACCTAAACCAGGGGCCTCCTAGTTCGAAACGGCAACCTCACAAGCCAGCAAAGAGATCTCCTTAACACAACATTGGGCCTCCTCATCTAGAGCATGGGCTACCTTGTTTTTGAAGGTGGCCGTCTGATCCAGAAAACAGACCTCTTAAAGCAGAAAAAATGGTCTTCCAAATCCCACTTTTTTGGTTACCTACGGTTAACCTTACAACCAACTCTGTCTTTGCGATTTAATGGCGTTTCAAAACAAAACATCATCTCGGAAAAGTATGCTTGTTTAACCTAAGGAAGCTATGTAAAACACCACTATAAGCTCCAAATTGCTTGAAACATGAATTCGTTTTGCATTTTTCGACGCACTTGAGAATGTGGCATGAAACATTCCACGAAACAAGCCGACGGGAACATGTTTATGAGAACACAATCAGTTAGTACTGGTGTTCTTGTACTGCTCGGGAACCACCTATTCGATGCCTTCTGTAAAATGTATTGCATGTGTGTGCACTTACTTAGTTAACTTGTGCAGAACGGCAACTGCACAGCACTATGCAGTGAAAATTTACCTCGCTAACTACGGAGAAGTGTCGCTTTTAAGTGTTCGGAAAAACAGGCCACTATCGCAACATGGATCATGATGCTGTGGCAGAGGCCCCGGGCTTGGTGCGAGGGTCGCCGCTGGACATGGAAAATCTGCAAATATCGTATCGCATGAGCTCTGCTGACAGATTTAATGCGACTGAACGCATATGCCAAATGGGCAGATTGGGCTAAGTGTCTGTCCACCGGCTCGCAGTAAGCCCCGGCCGCCGTGCATGAACTGTCAGCTGATTGTCCGCTGCGACCAAAGGTTGGCGGTCGCCCGCTATCTCGGCTGACTCACTCTCGACTCCGTTCAGCCAAGAGGGCGGGCCTCGGCCGGTCGCCAGCTGTGGCCGATTAGCGGCCGGCGCGCGGGCGAGCCGTCTGCAGACCGCACGAGCCGCCCAATTGAGGGGTGGAGCGTGCACCGGACGCGGCGGAGCGGCCTCGATGACGAGGACCGGACGGGGGCAGCGCCACGCCTAACTGGCGCCGACCGGTCCGGCTCGTCAGGACGACACTTTGGAGTCGACGCGGCAGTTTGGGACCTTCAAGCGTTAGCCAGACCTTCTGGCCACACCTTGCAAGCGTTAGCCTACGTGGGGGTCCGCCGCGACCTGTCCTGAGACGAAGCTGAGCCAACACGTGGGGCAGGACAAGTATTGTCTGTGTTGGTTGTTGCAGGCTTTTCGCGGCCGAACACCAGGAGAAGCGTCGATCTCTCCCTACCGCAAACGACGGACCTCATTGATGGCCGAATGCCACGCAGTTCTCGTAAACAGCAAAGGAGAACTTGTGCCTCCGATTGGACCTACATACACAAGCTGGAGGCTCCCAGAAAGCCTGGGCTTCCGAATTTTGCGTTGCCGGTCGGGAGTTCTAATGCTAACAATGATCAGCGGGGATATTGATCAGGCGGAAGCGTGTTACTGTTAAGATAAAGATCGCCAATTGTTGGTTGGGCCCACCAAACGATCTTTAAAACACAAGCTTTCAGGACTGGAAGAAACTGTGCTTACCATGAAAAATGTCAGCTCCAACGCGCAGAACAGCGGAGGCCTCACTGCCAGTTTTGCACACTTCGTTTGGTTAATGGCACCTCAACGCTACGGCATAAAGCCCTTTCCATGAAGCTAGTATCGCTGCATGGCAACAGCCTCCCAAATATCTCACGTCAGAACCGAAACTGCGCAGGGGACACTGAAGGCTCAAAGGTTGACTCAAAACGGGTTACATTTCCATGACAACTGTGGAAAAGGTCAACCGACAGACCACCATTACCGGGAGAGTGTTGAGTGAGTAGCAGACGTGTCGGAGTTCGTGCTACGTCGGAACCCAGAGAAGCATCAAGCCTGCACACCGGGGTCAAGGAGCTACGTCGGCGTCACCAGCCTTGGTCTCCGACTTGGTCTTGAACTCCATAATGGTTCATCTCACCAGGAGCAGGCCGCAGCCGCTAGCCACGCGTCTCACCGGGGGCAGGCTGCGGACGCTATCCACGCGTCTCACCGGGAGCAGGCTGCGGACGCTATCCACGTGTCTCACCGGGAGCAGGCCGCAGCCGCTAGCCACGCGTCTCACCGGGAGCAGGCTGCAGCCGCTAGCCACGCGTCTCACCGGGGGCAGGCTGCGGACGCTATCCACGCGTCTCACAGGGAGCAGGCTGCAGCCGCTAGCCACGCGTCTCGCCGGGGGCAGGCTGCAGCCGCTATCCACGCGTCTCACCAGAAGCGGGCTGTGGCCGCTAGCCACACGTTTCACCGGGGGCGGGCAGAAGCCGCTAGCCATACATCAATCTCAAGATCGCCCTGGCTGGTAGCGCCGTCCAAGCACCGGCATGCACTCAGCCATGTGGTCCCTCATCGGGGTAAGACCCGAGGGAGATGATAACCTGGGATGGGCGCACCACTGCGCCACCTTTTTCTTCTGTCTTGAGGCCCGTCGTTCCTTGCTCTGACACGTTTATGCATGACCGAATGAACCCCAGCCTACCCGAACCAAGACAATCGTCGTATTCTCATGGGCGCAAATACAACTCCTCAAGCCAGACACGTCCGGGCGGGTCAAGCGGTCACCCTCGCTGCCAGCCATTGGCCGGTGGTGGAGAGCCGCGCAAACTCGGTGGCATGTCGGCTCATCCCGCGAGGGACCGCCCCCCTAGAGCTCCTCTCGGCGAACATGACACGTCTTTCGAGAAGAATGGAGGTGCCATTCCCTGGCCTTCCTCAAAGCGCAATTAAAAGAGTTAAGCTCGCACGCCGAAACGCATAGAGTGTATGGCGCCACTCGGAGTGTGTCTGGCAAGTGAGCAGGACAGACAATTCTCTCAGCATGCAGGATCTGCAATAGTAATTCGGGCTTGCTGAGAGCGCTGTTTCCATACACCGCCATGGGTCTAATACAACACTGAGAAAAAATGGGGCTTTCCCCATACAGATAAACCGGCACCTCTGCAACCATGAAGGCTGCGCTAGAAACGGATGCACGAGCCGTTGAACGTGATAATGAAATGCTATAGAGCATGGCAAACTCAAAGAAAGCTGCATTTTGAGGCATGAAGGACGTGGAATATCAGTGTCTTTCAACCCGCCAGAAGGCTAAGACCGATGCCAAGCCGGCGAGGAGATGCATGCGCTCACCCATATCTATGCAGATCTGGACCTACATCACGGCACCGCATCTGCAGTGCCCCTTGAGAGCAGGTAGTTATTTTCGAGAGCTGCTTGGTATGACAGAAGGTTAGTTTGGGTCTCATAATAAAACGGACAAAGCAGGGTAATGATAAATGACGGTCGTGATAGGTCACTTTTCCCGAGTTTTTTCCGATGTTGTTGCTCACATGGGTATTTACAAATTGTTCGAGTCGCTTCTAAACATAGTTTGTTGCGTGTACTCTGAACCCGCCACCCAGCCTGCGGCGTCCAATTAAACGGGTAATTTTGCCTCCTCTTTCGCCAGACGAATGTGGAGGGTTTCATGTGCCGTGCCATGCTACAGCGTGGCTCCCACGGGCCTGGGTTGACCTCCATTGGCCAGTTGTCAGCTGACCTTTTCATTTCAGTTAGGCGAAACAACGCGCCCGCTTTAGGACTGATACCCAGCGCCGCTGGTACGCGAGTCCAGCAAGTTTCCCTATGCTTCGAGTACGGTATGAATTTTAGTTCTGTCGTGGCTTTCGAGAGCTTAACCAGTCCCGACAGGCAGGTACATGGTTTGTGCCCATGGGAAGCAACCGGTTCAATCACCTCGATCAATAATGAACGCTTGCAGCGCCTCGCCATCGCCACTTATCACTTCAATGAAGCAAAGACAGGATTCAGCGGCTGTGGGGGACGAGAGACGAGGGCGGGCCGAGAGGTCAGCTCTGGATGGGAGCCCTTTCGGTGAGCAATGATCATTTCGGGGGTGTGGGACGAAGGAGAGTGAAGCATGGTGGAGCAAACATGCATGCACCTGGACGTCCATACGTGACTTGGCCCGTACAGGGACTCCTGTGCGAAGGATGTGCTCGGTGCCTGCACGGGGTCCCCGCCAGAGGGGATATAAGCTCACTCATGGCTGGCGCACGTTGTTTGCACCGGTCAAACGAGGCGGTGCGAGGACGCGGAACGAAGGGAGGATGAGAGCGGCAGGGAAGATGGACCGACCGGTCGCCGCACGCGGCGCGCGACCGTCTCCTGAGCATCTCCTGAACGCGACCGTCTCCTCTCCTCCTGAAATGGGCCGAGGCTGCGGACCTGGCTGGCGTGTAGTCCGTCACAGCGCACTCAGTGGACGCCAATGTGCGATTGATGGTGCTCTTTTTCTCACTGCCGGCACGGAGGGAGTTAGGTTGGCTGGTGACGGTTTATGTATGTGTTTATGTATATCTTTTGAGAGGGGCACAGACACTTAGGGATAAGCTATGATGTGGGCGCCAGGCTGGCACTCACATTAAAGCAAGTCGGTCAATGTTTAGGTGTCACAGTAGTTGTGCGTTATCAGGATCCTTCCGTCCCCAACTCTACCCTCACCAAAATTTTTTTGTCATCTTGACTGGGATAAAGTTATTTTTTTAAACAATGTTTTATTGTGATGTCATCATGAGATGAAATAATGTTGTGCTCTTTTGTGGGTGTCCCTCCTTAAGACATTGTGTTCAGTTGTTTTCTCAGGAGCTCTTAATACTGACCTGAGCCCACCTTCCGTGTTCTTCTGAGCCCCACCCCATCCTCATGCATAGGTGAAAAGTAAATACCGGGCTCAAGAAATGCAGAAAATATGCCTGAACTGTCGTCAACAAGGTTCCTTAACACGTCACTATCAATGTGACGTGAATTTTAATCCAAATAGTATCCTGCAGGTTCAAATGTTTTTTATTGCAACTCCCTTAAATTTAAAACCAGTTTGCAAATCTTGGCAGCCTTTCCTTACATGTCACACATGTATCGGGACAACAAACAAATTGACTGCGGTATGCGCCAGCTATTTAAAGCACTGGGTGTCGCAGGAAAAAGTTAACCAACATCCTCTCTAACAGTGGCAAGTTTATTTCTCGCTGGCCGGACTGGGTGATGTTCGGCTCATGGTAAAACGCGAGCAGCAACAGTGGTAATTATCGGAGATTTCATCATCTGTCTTAACCACAAGAGGTGACGCAGATGACTCCCTGGCGGTCCAGAATGCACAGCAGTTGAACCTGCCGAAGGCAGCTCAGCGTCCAGTCGACCTTATGGACGGCAATGCCTCCCATCTCAAGCCTATGACCTTGAGTCTTGAAGGTTTGATAGTTTGACCACGCGGACGCGGTTGTTGAGGTTGCCCAAATCAAACTCGAATAAACTCCGTGGGCCCAAATCAAATCAACCCCGTGGGCGACTGGTAGGGCGAGTGGGAAGCTGTGGCAAGGAAGTCCTAAGCTGATGTGCATTCCGGTGGAATGCCCCTTGAACTGATCTAGAATTGTTGACCAGGCGACAACGCGCATGTGTCGTGTGCGGTGTCGCCCGATTGCTACCACTGATGCTTCTTGTGCTTTGCCATCAGCCGAATACCATCCAGTCCATCCGGTGAGAAACACGCTTGCCACTGTTTAGAAAAATGGTGTTTAACTTTTGCCTGCGTCACCCAGTGCTTAAAAAACTGGCGCATATTGCAGTAATTTTGTTTGTTGTCCAGATCCACGGGTGATATGCAAAGGATATGCTTCATGATCATTTCATGTGGTGAAATACACCTGTCACTGATGAATGAAGCGTGGGTCATCTTTAAAAAGCGAATTTTGAGATGCACTCTAAATGCACGTCAGTTCTATATAAACTTCCCTCACAGTCTATCTGAGCATCTTTTTAAAAGGAAAGAATGTTCACACGAATGGAATGTTCCCACGAATGGAATGGGAAGACTGATGTCTCAGTGATCATACCGTGTGCCGAAATGGTGTGCGCTATGATGGGGTTCGGCCATGAGCTTTATAAGATTTAGCATAAGCCTTTCAATTGGATGCATGTCTAGAATCAGCGCCAATGCCAAGTGATGCTTGCTGTGTGAGCTCTAAGCCCACCACCCAATTGTAAAATCCGTGTCAATGATATCATGACACAAGCCCGGCGATGTAATTTCGGTGACAGCTCCACTTGTCGCAAAGCTCGGTACGGTTTACCCGGCCCTCTGACGTCACCTGAATATTAGTGCGGCCGCTGGCACCGGCCACAGGTCGTGCCAGTCAGAGGCAAATAGCGAACGCATAAAGCGGCCCAAACACACTCCGCCACTGTTGGGTCAATAGAAAGGCAGGCGATCCAACTCAACTGATCTGTCTGGATGGGCTAAGCACAATTATGACGGGACGGTTAAAAGTACGACTCGGCGATATGTCCCCTACCTGTGTATACTACAAAAAGTGTGTCGAGGAATGGAATCAACACATTTTGTGCGACGTGCTCCAGTGCGAAAAAAATGTTGGGTGGTGTGGATAGATTCTTTTAGAAAAATCTGACCATGACCACCACTTCTTAACGCCGAGTTTATCTTAAACCTAGCCAATGCTCTCCTGGTTACGTTGTTTAGCCACCACCTCTTGGCATACTGCGAATCGATCACCATCGATGTGAGACTTCAAGGCGTTTTTTACTGAGTTCAAATCCCAACACGCGGTAAAGCGTTTGTCACGTTCTTTTAAGACGGCCTCATTGATGACTCGTCCGGTCGCCAGCCCTTACGTACTCTGTCCATCCAGCCATCAAAATGCCTGCTGAGGACGCAAACTTGTTTTGGTTGCGCAAGTACATGTTCGTTAGTGTTCAGTTCCACTCTGTATAGGTACTTCCCCGCAGTGTACACGATAAAGTTTCCATCGTCTTCTTTTGTACGTGTGAAACCCCGTTATTGTGCACAATGCCGTCTTTTTGTGGTCGGGCAACCTTTGATGGGCAAAAAACGACACCTCTTTTTCGTTAACTACAACGGCTGACTTCTTAGATGATTTCTTAAAAAATACTACCAAGTTCCAGCTTTTCACAAATATGCAGCCTTAGGTCGGCTAGTAATAGTAAGTCGTGTCCCTGTGACAAAACGATGACAAAATCAACCAATTTTTATGAATTGAGGACGTTAATTGACGGCCGAAGCCAGAAGAGATCGGGTTTCAGGGGTAGGTTGGGTCAACTTTATCAGCTCACCCCCTCCTCATCTCCCAGCAGTGTAACAAGTAGTGCCTGTTTTCTTACCGCAAGGTATTCTATTGTTATTGATACTCATCTCCCCTTTGTTTTCAGATCCATTTATCCCACTGACGAACACTTGCTCATTGCAACAATGTCAAGGTAAGTAAGTGGCGAGTTTGTGTTAATTCGTAGTGCAGTTGAAGCTGTCTTCACCGAGCAGCATCATATCAAAATAAAAAATTTCAGCTGTCATTTGCGCTCTGTACCATCTACCCAGAAAAATATTTCTTTGATCAGTCCGTTTCCAGAGCATTTATTCTCCAGATTTCAGCACGGAAAAGTATGTGTTAGAGCTGCGCATGGACTCGAACGATATAAACATCACCATGTCTTATATGTATATATATATGTGTGTGTGTGTGTGTGTGTGTGTGTGTGTGTGTGTGTGTGTGTGTGTGTGTGTGTGTGTGTGTGTGTGTGTGTGTGTGTGTGTGTGTGTGTGTGTGTGTGTGTCCATGAGTGTGCAACGGCTCTCTGCAAGTTCGACAAAATTTGGTGGGTGTCATTTCCGGCTAAATAATTGCCTGAATGTCGTGTAATTTAGTCGATGTAAATCAGTGACCGTAGCGAATTCATTAAACGTTGGTTGTATTTAATGACGTCACGCCAACGTGGGGCACCTTTGCGTACTTTTGCAGAGCCTGTGAAGTTCAAGTACACGCCAGGGGAGGCGTACCGGTACAGGTACAAGGCCAACACTGCCAGCACAGTGCTGGGAGTGAGCAGCAAGAGCACCACACTGACACTGGAATGTGACGTTGTGCTTCACGTCATCACGCCCTGTGAGCATGCAATCAAGGTGAGAGTTTAGTCCTTTGGCCACGTTTCGCTGCGAAAGCCTTCAATGAAAGATTTATGCATGAGTAGCGTTTCATGCAATCATAATATGGCGAGCAATGTGGATTGCTCAGGTATTGACATTCCAGCCCATTGCGCGCAAAACGCTTTTTTCCCTCCTCAACATTGTGCGCTAAACGTACCAACCGACAATGGATGGTATGCAAAAGTGCAGCCAAAGGAGGGACCCGGGGACTGCGATGCCTTGATTTAAGTCGATACTGATTTGGCATCCGCTGTCGGCACCGCTGCACAGAAATATTGCAGTTCTAGCCCGCTGTTGGTACCGCGGCACAGCAATCCTTCAGCTCTAGTTCGCATTTAGCGTCAGACGCAAGCTCGATATGTCGTTCATAAAGTGCCGGAGCTAGTCGCTGATGCCGATTCTTCTCCCCTCTGTCCGCAGATAGAGAACGTTGTGCTCCACACGGTGGCGGTCGACCAGGGCTCGCTGACGGACAAGGACATCGAGAGCGACAGCTTCACGTCACCTCTACAGACATATCAGCTCAGGTGAAAAAGCATGCTCACACCGCCTCTGCAGAAGTATCGGCTCGGGTGAAATAGCACACTCACACTGCATCTGCAGACGAATCAGCCCAGGAGAAATAGCGCACTCGCATCGTCTCTGCAGGCGTATCAGCTCAGGTGAAAAAGCACGCTCACACTGCCTCTGCAGACGTATCAGCTCGGGTGAAATAGCACACTCACACTGCCTCTGCAGACGTTTCAGCACAGGTGAAATAGCACACTCACACTGCCTTTGCGGACGTATCAGCTCAGGTGCAAAAGCCCGGAACGAAAAAGTACTAGCCATGTGTGGCACGCCATGACGTACCGCCAAAATATGGCGTTTTATGACTGTTAATACCGTCAATGACCCACCATAGATTTTAGAAGGTTGTATTCAGTTCGTTTCTTCTCCACGCTGTCGTAAAGGGTATACGAGACCTGCTGCTATGGGACAGCCTTGTTGTGGCTATGTCCATGCCACCATCAGCGATGATCAAACCGAACTGGCATGACAAGCCGTGCTACGACGTCCGGTGATAACGTCCTGCATCCCCCAGGTACGGATTCCAAGACGGCATCGTGGACTCGGTCTGCCCCGAGAGCGGGGACCCGACGTGGTCCGTCAACGTGAAAAAGGGCATCGTGTCGGCCCTGCAGAACTCGATGGACAGGCTTGATCTCAACTATGACGAAGTAGAGGTAAGTTCGGGATCCTTCCCCGGTAAAAAAAAACACCTTAGAACGAGGCCCAGGTTTTGAAGTCATACGTATGTGTACTTTGCAAAAATACAATCACTAAAAGATGTCGACGATGTTTCAGCATTGCTCGCGGCTAGCTAAGAGATAAACATTCTCGAGCTCGGCTGGTGAATGCGTACTGCGCAGCGCTTTGAAGCGCACCCTGGAGCTCAAACGTTTATCATTCATGGAAAGTGAGACCAGAATTCGGCAGGTAGCGGCTGTGATATGGGGCCAAACCGGCATCGGGGGACATAAAACCGTTTAAAGATGTCGACATTTCTGTCTTCAGGAAGGCGCGTTATGTCCAGTGACTTTGACCCGTTTCCCCACTGACGACGCCCGTGCCTCGTCACCACTGACGCGGTGTGCTGACGTCACAGCGAGACGTGACCGGGGACTGCCCGGCCTCCTACACGGTCGAGGGCACGAGCAGCGACGGCCTGCTGATCACCAAGCTCCGCGACCTGAACGCCTGCGTCGGCAGGTTCGCCCACACCTCGCACATCCAGGGAGTCGGCTACAGCATCAAATCGGTGAGGTGTCATCCGGCTCCGAGGTGAAGACCCATGCAGCGGGCGCGTGTGTGAACTGTGTGGATAAGGCAGCCTTGGGGAAGTGGCCAAGACCACTGTTAACGCCCTGGATCGACGTCAGCCAGCGCTGGATGACTGGCAGAAAGCGTGCTGTGCAGTGTACCAAGAACACTTGCCCCGACAGTTACAAGGTCACGGAAGAAAAACACTCCCACTGACAAACATCGGTTTTTCCGTGGCTCAGGACATCTCTTTCAGCAGTTTCGGCTCGGAACGGCCTGCTCAGTTACACAACTACACCTCTTTTTTAGTCAGCCTGAGCTGCCTAAGAGCATGAAAACGAATTTGATAGAAAACGTACCGTGGTAGCTGCGAGTAGCCAGCGTAGAGGTAAGGCGCAGTCACAGGCGGTGTCCACCGCGGCTGGCTTGGCATCCGTGGTCTAGCGTCCGTCGACAACCAGTCTGGTGACAGTAGACGGCTTGGCCGTGTTACAGCCGGTGCAGAACATCCCGATCGTGGCCAGCAACAGCCGGTGCAGCCAGACGCTGCTGACAAACCGGCTCTCCAGCGTGCAGTGCGAGGAGCGCCATCTGCTGAAGCCGTTCTCGCACGAGGCGTCCGGCGCTGTCACCGTCAGTGCGCAGAACCTCACCCTGATGGACGTCTCCACGGCCACCGTCTCACAAGGTGCGTCCATCACCCAGACACCGGGACAAGCGTCTTGCACGGCGCATCTGGCCACCAGAGTCACCGTCTCGTCAGGTGGCGATCCTCCGTCACCTAAGCCAGCGTCTCACACAGCGTAGCCGGCCACCAGTAGTGGTGTCTCGCGGGGTGTGCTCAACAGGCAGGACCGTGGTCTGGCAGAGCATTCTCAGCGAGTCAACTCCACCGTTTGGTGTGGGTGACGGGCCGCTGTCTGCCGCAGACGTGGTGCAGAACAGGGAGACCCTGCTGTACAACCACATGCCGGCCAAGGCAGCGTCCCACACCCGCGAGAAGTCGCTGGCTGAGGCGGAGACGCTGGTCCGGGAACTCTGCGAGGACGTGAGTGTCGCCGGCTGTGACGGGGAGTCCGAGTTTGGGCCCGGTCGTCCGTCATGCGTTCGGCGTATCGCTCCTACTGTGACTATGTGTGGCCACGTTGTCATCAGTGCGGCTATTTACGCTGTTGATGTCGTTACGGTGTTGAATACCAACACAGCAACGCCCGTTAATGTATTACATATAAGTTTTATTAGTCTATAAACCATAATTATCATATCGTGGGCGAGTGTCCATATAGTCTCGATTCATTGACACAATATATAAGGCGTAGTGACGGCTTTATGCCTTCAAACCAGTGGTGATGCCCGGCATGCTCATCGACTCTCAGCCAAACTCGGGAGGCCTCTGGCGAAACCATAGCGCCAAAAGAATGGAATCGAACTTTGGATGAGGTCCAATCGTGATGAGTGTGTGGTTATCGCCCGCTTGGGTATCGAGCGGACTGGCCCAGCGTCGGTGACTAGACCTGCTGCGTACCGCGAATCCATGACTCTGACTCCCGTCTCGTTTCACCGGCCGGCAGGACTCGGAGGTGCGCGTGGACTCGACCACCAAGTTTTCGGAGCTGATCGACGACCTTCGGGGCATGAGTCACACCTCGATCACATCGCTGTACCGACTCAGCCCCAGCATCTGCCGACACGGACAGTAAGGGCCACACGCACCGCCTGTTGGTCATACGGCACGATCAGCGCTACCTTGCTGACCACCTCATTGCTATGACCAAAGCGTTGGCAGTGTTATGCTACCAGTTAGCACAAGAAGCTTTTCAAAAATCGACGTTCTTAGAATGTCTAGACAATGAAAGCAGCTAACCGGGCATTCTTAACTCCTGACTAGTTTGTTTTACGGGTTGTGTTAACACAGGTTCTGCAGTGTTTTAGAAAGATGCACAGTACAGCATTGCGCAGTTCCCCGAATTACTCCAGAAAGTAGCATCCCATCGTTTCGTTTTCGCACCGAAAAATTTCACAGATAGACCAACCAGGCTGCCGGCCATGTCGGCACAGCGATCGTCGATGTCACTGCCTTTCCGCATGGCCCTGAACCGTGCTGTGGTGACGTCGTCGATGTCTCTCCGTATGGCCCTGAGCCGCGCTGTGGTGACGTCACCGCTTCCTCTCCGCATGACCCTGAGCCGTGCTGTGGTGACGTCATCGATGCCTATCCGCATGGCCCTGAGCCGTGCTTTGGGGATGTCACCGATGTCTCTCCGCATGGCCCTGAGCCATGCTGTAGTGACGTCACCGATGCTTCTTGCCAGGCAGCTGATCGAGGATGCCCTGCCGGTGGTCTCCACGGCCGCGTCTCTGGAGTTGACCAGGGACCTGATCCTGAATGAAGAGGTTTCTCCGCGCGTGGCCAACACCTGGCTCATGGCTCTCAACTTCATTCCCAGGTACCGACCGCAGCGCACAGGCTCACCACCGCTCTGGTTCATGTGGTATGAAGAGGCCCCGGAGGCATTCTTCATAAGAACTGCTCCTGTTAGCCCTGTCTCCACTCTAGTTAAAGCGGAAGTTGCAGGAAAAAGCCGCATGGTCTGCGAACCTGGTGTTTTTTGTGCTGAACTCCTTGACATTCTTGCATGGCGTCCTGCAGATCAGCTTTCCTCTGGATATGGTGTCCTGCAGATCAGCTTTCCCCCTTGGATATCAGATGAGATCAGCTTTCCCCTTGGATCCCCCCTTTCCCGCTTCCCCTCCTTAGATATGGTGTCCTGCTTGCCTGGCATTTTGTTCATCTGACGTTCGGCTAACCTGCTTATCTCGTATTATGCCAGATTATGACACGAATTTTACGAATGTATGGTCTGCTGACCTGGTGACCTCCTGACCGGGCAATCACATGTCTCGGTGTTTTGCTGACGAGCTGGCCAGATATCCCGCTGACCTCCTGACGTGGTGACCTGTCGACACGATGACCTCAGCTGGACTGGTACAGCTGCTGACCTTGTGCTCCTCGGCGCTCCAGCGTGGACCAGGCCATGATGGAGACGGCCGGCGGCCTGCTGCAGGTGCGACAGCCGGCCGTGCGGACGCGCGCGCGGCTGGCGGTCGGCGCCGTGCTGCATCAGTACTGTCGACAGCACGCCGACTGTCAAACCAACCACGTGGCGCTGGAGATTATGGCCGAGATGGCGCGGCCTCTGGGCGACAGCTGCCGCGCCGACACCGAGCAGGACGAGAAGCAGGTGAGGCCGCTGCGCCACATGGGGTCGGACGCTGCAGGCGAGGAGAAACGTCCCAGGACGAGGAGTTCGTTCGGCTGCCGTCCCGAGGTGAAGTAACGCACGGGGGGCTGGTCGGAACGCTGCATTGGCACAGGGTCTGAGACGATCAACAAGCTAGACTGCCGCACTAATTCCCAAAAGATCAGACTGACGCAAAGGCCCCGGTTCATCGACGACGAACTGACGCAACAGCACCGGTTCATCGACGAAAGACTGACGCAACGGCGCCGGTTCGTCGACGACAGACTGGCGCAACAGCGCCGTTTCACTGAAGGCAGACTTACGCAACGGCACAGGTTCACCGACGATAGACTGACACTTCGGTGCCGGTTCATCGGTCACAGAATGACGCAACAGCACCGGTTCACCGACGACAGACTGACGCAACGGCACCGGTTTATCGACGACAGACTGACGCAACGGCACCGGCTCATCTATGACAGACTGACGCAACGGCACCGGTTCATCGACGACAGAATGACGCAACGCCACCGGTTCATCAACGACGGATTGACGCAACGGCGGCGGTTCATCCACGACAGACTGCTGTACCGACACAGGTGACGGGCGAGACGGAGGCAAGCCGTTGCCTGTTTCTCGTCATGTCCAACCATCTGGCATGGAGTGATGGGCGGGAACTGGTCAGACCGGCGCATCAGCACATAGTCACGGGCGATAAATGAGTCAAACTGCTGCAATGGCACAGGTCACGGACGAGGAACAGGTGGGACTGGGTGACGGACAAGACGCGGGTCAGGTCACGGCGCCCGCACGGGGTCGCGCACAGACGGACAGTCTGCCGGACGAGTGCACGTGACACCGAAGGAGCTGACGTTGCACATTTGCATAAGAAGTGATTAGTGTCGTGATGCTGTTCGCCGCGATCGATAATGTAATTGCAGATTGCGGCCTGGTTACTGCTACGAATTGGAATGAATTGGTTGTAAGCAGAACATGTAAGGAATACTCCACCCATAAAACCTGAAGGCAGAGCAAACTGAATGTTAAAGCTGCATTCATTAAAGACGGGCCATGAAGTCTGCTCCCTCTTTCTGGGCGTTAGGGATTCCCCCTTTTTCAACTTACCATCCCGCGCATTATGTTTGAGTGCACCTCTAGCAGACACCCATTGCGGGATGTGCTGGCCCGACTCGGTCTCCGATGTGGTGGTGTTTCTGCTGACTGTTGTCGCTGCTGACCCAGCTGCTGCTGACGCTGCGATCCATCGGCAACGCCGGTCTCTCACCGCCTGGCGTCGTCAACACGCTGAACGAGTGCTTTCTGAGCCGCGACAACCCGGCCCGGGTCAAGGTGTCCGCCATCGAGGCGTTCAGGTAAGCGGCGCCCCCCCCCCCCCCCAAGTACCTCCCGGGGTACACCGCTCCTGCTCCCACCGGAGCGTATCCCCTGGAGCTGGGTCAAGGTGTCGCCATCGAGGCCTTCAGGTGAGCGGCGGCCCCTCCCGAGTACCTCCCGGGGTACACCGCTCCTGCTCCCGCCGCGGAGCGTATCTCCTGGAGGAAGGCGTCACCTTTGGTCGGCGAGGATTTCGTGTGGAGCTGCGCACAGAGACGGCTCGCTGCCGGGTCCCTGCTGGAGGTAGGTCAGCCAGCTGACGTGTGGATGCGCACTGTCACAGGAGGTTCAGATGACGCAGCCAGCTGACGTGCGGATGTGCATTGTTGCAGGAGGTTCAGATGACGCAGCCACCTGACGTGCGGGTGTGCACTGTTGCAGACGGTTCAGCTGCCGGGTGCACCGGGACGCCATGCGCGCCGTGTTCCGAGACCTGGCCGAGGACAGCGAGGTGCGCATTGCCGCCTACCTCGGTCTGATGCGCTGTCCCTCGCACCAGGAGATCGGCCTGGTGCGCGCCGCCCTGGAGCAGGAGCAGGTCAACCAAGGTGACGGTCCGCCTCACGTGTGCGATGCCGTGGTGCACGTGTGGGCCCCCCCCCCCCCCACACTTGCCCAAAGCCGAGCCAACAGCGGGCCGCTCGCTGGCAGCCGGGTAACGCGAAAACGTGCGGTCGCAGGTCACCGTTGGACATCTCACTGGTCACCGGCTAGTGATGCTTTGTAACCCGTGGGATAGAAAGCTCCAGTATCAATGTTAAACGTTGTTTGAGCGCAGTGCAGCCATTGAAAGGTGGCAGGTTATGGAACCATCCAGGAACCCATGTGTGATGAAAAGGTGCACATAAACTCAATGTTTTATTAATTTTGTGTGCAGTATTTATTGTATCCAAGGTTTGAAGGTAATAGTGAATTTTACGCTAACATTATCGGACAGAGAACTAATTTGATACCAAATATGAAACGCACAGAGCGTACCTCTGATTAGGAGAATGTTTTAGCTGTGAATGCAATGTGTACATGATACTATATTTTTAAGCTTCTCCAGCTTTGATGCGCCATAAATGCCTGGCCGCTTTGCGGGATGACGCTTTTGTTCATCAGACAATGAAAAACAGCCTTATAAAAACAGTCTCATATGCTCATGATGTTCTTTTCGTCATTTCACGTTCGCGGTACTTTATTACTTGAACCCATGGGACCAAACGCACAAATTTCAAATGACAAATTTGCCCACTTTACAAAAAAAAACCGCTTTCGGTGGGTCTTACCGGCATTTTGATAGGTTTGAAGTTAAATGATGGGTTTCGCCTCAGTTTGCTCTATCTTTCGTGCAATCAGAACTATACTTCAGTAGAATACGGGGAAGCCAATTGGGGTACGAGTGGAATGAATGCCAGCGTGAAGGGAACTGTTGGGAAACTGCCTAAGTCCACTTCAGTAGTGGGTAAATGACGGTGTATTCTCACAGCTGAAAATGGCCGGTGAAGAGTTATTGATGATAAATATCTTTGTGTATTTCAGTGGGCTCCTTTGTCTGGACCCACCTGAGTAATCTACAGGAGACGTCATCTCCGTACCAGCTAGAAGTGCAGGGCCTGCTGGCTGATCTTTCTTTGAAGAAGAAGTTTTCCACCGACGTCAGGAAATTCTCTCGGAACTTCGAGATATCCGGCTTCAACTCGGAATACCACATGGGCGCCTCACTGGACTCCAACCTCGTCTACAGCTCGCGGAGCTACGTGCCGCGGTCGCTCAACTCCAACCTGACGCTTCAGCTCTTCGGCGAGAGTGTCAACCTAGTGGAGGTACTTTCCGGTGAACCGTCTATGTTTACTGCTCCTCGAAATTGCCTCGGCTTCAAAGAGCAGAATGAGTTTGCTGATAACGTAAGTCAGCCATTTCCTTGGATGAATGAACTAATGACAGCGTAGGCGTTCAGCGTTATTCAGCATGAGTGGGGCAACGGAAACACACCGGGAGGTGTGTTACTCGTCCCGATAGCTCAGTTGGTTCGAGTGTATCCATCCGGTCCATCCGTCACCCGCTGTTCAAGTTGCTCTAGGCGCTCGCTATCTGCCCTAGGCTGAGATGGTCTGCGGCTGGTGGCTACGACCACTTTAAAGGTCAGGTGTTGCAGAGGACATGGTAGGCCGTGCTGAGCATTGCGGCATGTTGAACCCTCGCCATCCAATTTTGCCGTTTGCCTGAAATTCGCAATCGTATGATGTGGTCAGGGTTCACGAAACAGACACTGCTTAGCGTGGGCTCCAATCCCAGAAATAAACCCATTCAACAGGTTACGACTGAATCTTAAAAAAATACAAGGATCCTGCGGTTTCAGTATTCAGAGAATCAGATAGGTGTCACTAATGTAATGGCTGACAGTAACAGTTTTATCACTGCATCATTTGAGTCCTGCCGGGGTCCGACAGAGGCTATTTGATGAGTGCATGGTTTGGACCGTAGCGGGGTCCGACTGCCGACAGTAGTCATTTGATGAGTCTGTGGCTTGGACCGTAGCGAGATCCGACAGAGGCCATTTAGTACGTGTGTGGCTTGGACCGTAACGAGGTCCGACAGAGACCACTTGATACGTGTGTGGCTTGTACAGTGGCGAGATCCGACAGCAACCATTTGATAAGTGTATGTCTTGGACCGTAGCGAGGTCTGACAGTGGCCATTTGATAAGTGTGTGTGTCTTGGACCGTAGCGAGGTCCGACAGCGGCCATTTGATGCGTGTGTGTCTTGGACCGTAGCGAGGTCCGACAGCGGCCATTTGATGCGTGTGTGTCTTGGACCGTAGCGAGGTCCGACAGCGGCCATTTGATGTGTGTGTTGTCTTGGACCGTAGCGAGGTCCAACAGTGGCCATTTGATAAGTATAAGTGTGTCTTGGACCGTAGCGAGGTCCGACAGCGGCCATTTGATACGTGCGACGTTCCAACAAGTCTTGGACTCGGTTACTGCGGTCATACCCGGCGGCGGCCACGTAACCGATGCGTGGTCCCGGCAGGTCGGAGCCCGCGTGGAGGGCATGGAGCGCCTGCTGGAGTCGATGTTCGCGCCGGGAGGCGTGCTCCACAACGCGGCGCCCGAGCCCCTGTTCCGCGGCCGACGTGACGCCGCCCAGCAGCGGATGGAGCAGATCAAGGCCGACTTTGACGCCTCCGACCGATTCGGCAGTCCTCTGGCCCTGTTCCATCTCAAGGCGAGTGGCAGCGCGCGGGGCCTGATCATTTGGCTTGGCTCTGAGACATGACCAAATTCGGTTTTCAAAAAGGGTTGAGTCCATGGGCTTGGTGATTGCGAGTGAACGCTCTGTGTTTGAAATTCGAAATTGCATGTTTGATCGACGTTCATTGGTCGGCCAATGCAACGCAAGCGCTAATATTGGCCTGTATCCCAGCCTGTATTCAAGCGTGAGTTATGTTAAATGGCCTGCGCATGCCGCCGCAGGTCTTCGGTCACGAGGTCGAAAGCATCGACCTACGCAGCTCGGACATGGACTCCATTTCGAAATGGCTGGCGCAAAACGGTCCGGCAGAGTGGGCCAACGCGCTCAGCAACACCGAGGTCAGTGGTCACCGGCGCCGGATTTCTTACGCACACTTGTGAACCACTCCGCTTTACTTTCTTGACAAACCCACCGCATCACACCAAGCACGGCTGTTCGGCTATCCATTCACTTTCTCCTGTGAAACTGAAGTAGCAGCATGCTCAAAGGGACGTTGTCCTTGCGTAGTTGACTGTTGCTCGAGGAAAGCGTCGTGCGTCATAAAATGTTTCGTGATGTCATTTCCGGGCAGAAGCGCACCGGACAGGCCTTCGGCTCACCATGAGTGTAACGCACCCATGTATGTTCATACGCCTGGTCGCATTGTCTTCCAGGTTTTAGCGCGCCATTGACAGTTCCAATGACGTCACGTTGATGACCGGCGTAAAAGACCATTCAGCCCTTAGCAATGAGTTGCACCGAAAATCAGTGTCTACCAACGGTGTGCATATCCCGTCCCACACGCGAGGTGTCGCGCACGTCGGCGCCGCGGTGGCGCGCGTGTTCGTGGCGTGCCTGACGGTCGGTCCTCGACAGAGTCTGGACATCAGCCGGTCGGTCAAGTTCCTGGAGGGCACGTACATCGTGCCGACCGGGCTGGGCCTGCCGCTGAACCTGACCGTCTCGGCCGTGGCCGCCGTCAACGTCCAGATGTCGGGCAACGCCCAGCTCGACCGGCTCCTCTTCAACCAGGAGCTCGACCTGGCGTTCCGCCTGCGGCCGAGGTACGGCCGGCCGGCACCGGTCACGTGACCGCCGTCGGATGTGAACGTTGTAGACGCGGGATCTCTGCGGCTTGGGTACGGGCGGTCAGCGCCGGTCACGTGATGGCCGGCCGGACGTTGAATGGCCGCACCACCGCTGTCTGGGGCTGGTCGGCGAGAGTGCTGCCCATGGTGCTGGCCGCTGCTGGTCGGCTGAGGCCCCGGCCGCTGCTGATCGGCTGAGGTGCTGGCCGCACCACCGCTGACTGGGGCTGGTCGGCGGAGTGCTGCTCATGGTGCCGGCGGCTGCTGGTTGGCTGAGATGCTGGCCTCAGCGCTGCAGAGTGCCGGGCTTCATAGACACCTGATGATCAAGTGGCGACTGCCCTTTGCGATGGGAGGCGATTTGTGTGCATGTAGGTTGGTTATAACAGCTCAAAATGTGACCGCAGTGAAACATCTGTGCCAGGAGCCGCAGGCCGTGTTGACGCTGTTCATTATGAACGTTTTCAGCGGAGCGGTGACGTTCGACGGCACCATGATGGTAGACGGCATGGCAGTCCAGCTGGGAATGGGCATGAAGACCACTGTGCACTCATCGTCACTTGTTGACGCAAGTCTCAAGATGGAAGGATTTAAGCTGGTCGATGCTTCCGTCAACATGCCGAAGGACAGAATGGACCTTTACAACTTTGAGTATGTATCGAGGCGTTGGATGAATTGATAAACCTGATTCTATTTTTTTAAACAGTGAATCTGATTTAGCTATTCTAACTGTCTACTTCTATCTATTCTATATATTTTAATTATTCTAACTATTTTAACTATCTATTGTCTTGCATGTGCTAATCCATCTCAGATAGCCTGCGTGTAACGTGCTTTCTCGTATAAGTTACTGTGTGAAGAAGTAACAACCTCTGATATTGTTTTGTCAACGGAATCAAGTAAAGCACAGACCCCAAATTAAGAACTGAAACTACGTCGTTGGCTTTTGCAGGTCTTCTCTTCAGTTCATTCATCAAGACCAACAGAAGACGCTAACATCGGAGATCACCATGGAGGGGGACAAACATGAGCAAGTGTCTCTCAACTCGTGCACCGGAGGGGACAAAATCACGGTCAGTTGATAACCGCCGTCAAATCTGGTGTCGAAGCAAACACGCATACCCGCTTGCGCTGCTCTCAAGTTCTTCCGTTCTAATTTTGCTTGTCTTGGACACCTTTGCCTTGGACATATAAATGTCCTCATGAGGCTGAGCTTCTGAGCCCAGTGCGGCAGCGAGCGGGTTGTGCGTGCACGATCGTCTCAGCAATTTGTGGCCAAGTATTGGTTATTGACTGCGCTTTCTGCATTTGGTTGCAGGGCTGGAGGGTTTGCTCCCACCTGATGTACGTGAATGCCTCGACGAACACGCTGGCACCACATTTCCCCCTCACCGGCCCCACGAAGATGGGACTGTTCGTCGACAAGACCGACAAAACAATGGAAGGCTACAAGCTTCAGTGGAAAGTCACGGACAGCGCGGTGAGTGTCGTGGCGGCACTGACAGCAAGCAAATAAAAGCACCAGCATGATGTTGAATCGGGCCCTCCAATACCGTCCCCTGGCCCCATGGGCAGAGGGCCGCACATCTGACCACTGTGCGGCGAGCATGTCGGGTGGCGCCCCCACCACGCTGATGCGGCTCGTCAGAGAGCGTGACGGCCAGAAGTGTAAGGTTCGTACGGGGTGGCCATGCCGTGATATTGCTACTACTTCAGATTCTCACGCTTTGGCAAAATTGGCCGTTGAAACGGGTCTTCTTTCGGGAGAAAACAAGCTTTGATTACCACAAGCTATGACGCCTAAAACATTCTTGCAAAACGGCCGATCGATTTATGACAAAAGATGCAATACCGAAATTCGTACCATCCTGCAATGCAGCATAGACTTTAGCGTGTTGATCTCATGTTGCGTGCTGTCTGTGCAACGAGTAGGCGTCGGATGGACAGATGATGACGCGTTCGTGGATACCGCGTGGGTCCATATAGTATCATTGCTAAAGATAGTCCGCAATTCTCAGCTCAAACTATTTTATGAGTCATGTCCAGCGCGCTCGCCGCGGCTGCCACCTGGCGCCGTCCCTTCAGCCCATGTCAGTGACCTCCAGCATGGCCTGGTCCGTTTTTGGTACTTACATGTGCCCTTCTCCTCCCAGTACGACGACCATCTCTCGTTATTGTTTGATACTCCGAGATCGACGGTCAACCGGCGGGTGGAGCTGAAGCTGAAGCGCTCCAAGAAACAAGGCAAAATAGGATTCAGAATAACCTACCCTGGGGAAACACTGCTGGGAAAAGGTAAACCAAAAAAAAAAAAACATAACAGGTGAACCTGGTGATGGTGACATATATTGGCTGTCAAAACTTGCCGACAATTTCGATGCGCGATGACACATGTATTTCACATTCGTTACACCTTGTTTCGTCAGCTGTACGTCTTCGGGATTGGCCTGGTTTATGAGTCATGTTGAGTTTGAGTCATCCCCCGCAGGTGAAGCCGTGTGGCAGCCCAAGAAGAAGAAGTTAGCCGTGGAAATATCCCGGCAGGGCGTAGAAGTGCTGGCCTTGACCTCCCAGCTGGTGACATCGGACAGTGGCAACAGCAGGGTGTATCGCCCCACACTCATCGTCAGATTCCTGCAGAATCCCACAGCCAACCTCGAAGGTACACCAGCTTGCCACCATACTCGAGAGCCAGATCAAGGGGCAGCACAGACCATGCAGTCTTGACTAACCGACAGGGGAGCAGCGTGGGCCCAGAGACGGTGACCCGCTCCCCACACGTGGCGCCAAAATGTTGTCGGTAGAGTGGCATGGATAGCGCTTTCTATATGAGGAGTGATGCGGGCATTTTGGGGAGGCCTTTGACCACGGGTGGGTCATGCCCTCGCAGGTATTCCCCGCGGAAAAGAAACATCACTTTAACTTTAAGCTATACAGCGCGTTTCAGGAAAGGTACACGGATGCACATCGTTCATGTTTGAGAAAATAATTTGCATAGTAACACGAATGATGCATCGATGCAAAGAGCATTCCATGTTTTTGGTATGTGACCGATGAGATCTCCCTGCCCCTCTTAGCGTGGAAGGTGCAGCACGCGTTGCATGTGGCTACCACCTATCTCCAGGCTCTGTACCGCCCGATCCTCCTCCACTAAAATTAGGGTTACGTCTCTGTTTTTCCGGCTTTCACGGCGATTCTTTTGTATTCTTTAGATCTAGGATGGTTTTCGGCTCATTGAGTACACCTACGCATTCAAATGCCCGCATAGAAAGAAATGTGGGGCATTAAAACTGGGGGAATGCACTGGCAGCTGTTTGACTTCTTCAATGATTTTGTTTTTTGGTCTATGGTCTAAAGTTGCTCTATGGGCCACTGCTTTATTTTCTCCACCGTTGATGATGTCCGAGTCATGTTACTGAAATTCCTGACGTGACAGATGTTCATCGCACATTTTCTTTAAAGCCACTCAAGACTTTGCTAAGGAACGTTTTATACCGGCTGACGGTCACGACCACTTAAGCCCCTCGAATATCTTGAGGTCACGAGCGACCAACCACGTCTCGACAGTCGCAGTGGGCGATGAAATTCTTACCGTGCAGTGGTAGACCTCGTCGGGGGCTTTGGTTGACCATAAACTATAGTTTTGGCTGATGGCTTCGCCGTCTAATTGAAACTGTGCATCGTCGCCAAACCAAATCTGACCGATGAAGGATGGGTTGGATTCGCACTGGCATAGAAACTAAATGCAGCAGGGCATGTGCACATAGGCTAACTTCGTATGACAACAGCTTGGGCTCTTGCCTTACCAGATGAAAAGCGACGATTTTTCTATGTCTTATCTCCCGCCAAAAATGACTTGGTGGGCCACACAGCAAAACTCTTTGACTTTTGCAAGCTCTGTCCGAGACTTTTTGACTCATTTTCTTGGGTTAACTGGCTCTAAAGTTCTCCCTTTGCGATAATGTTTTGCTCATGTCGCAGATTACGTTTGTTGATTGTCCTTTTCTCGCCTTAAATTGCGGTTTAAACTTACCTTGAGTCGTAAGTTGTTCAGTGCATTAGCGAGGAGCATTACTCACATAGATAAGACAGTCGTATCAGCCTTATTTGTTGGAGAAAAACCTGGAGAATGGAAGTATAGCTGGGTTGATATTTCGGCAACATGCTTTTATCGAAACAACAGCAAGAGTGTCATCTCATTATCTTTGTTTCCCCTTTTCCGCGTGTATGACAACAGAGTCTTTTGAAAATGGCTGTGCATGAAACAAAACAGTAGTGAATCGCTTTTCAGAAATGCCTTGAGAATTACGTTGTCGTTTCAAACAAGGACTGCTCTAAGAAGGGCTAATGCGTAGCGTTTTCCGGGAGCTCCATTCCTGATGTCCATGTTTATTGGCATCAGTTCTGGCCAATCACGCATCCCTAACTATCGTTCAAACTTTTAAAACAACATGACGCAGCCTAAAACAACAGAGTGAAATGCTGTCCTATTGTATGGAAGCATTCTCGGCGCGTGGCCTCGCTTAGTACGTGCTCGGTTGGGGGTCAAGTTGCCCCTCGAAGATTTTTACCAATCACTTTCGAACGGCGCAGCGCAACCGCGTCAGCTTTGCATAGCTGTGGGGAATTGAACAATGAGTCTTTTGACGCGTGAAGCTAGATATATTTTGTAAGGTCGTGGGCCAATTGCAGATTAAATTCAGGCCATGGCTGTCAGCAGTCATTTTCCAGGGAATCGCTGAATCTGATACAATAGAGGAGCGTGTAACAAAGCCATACATCTTTGAGACGGTTTCTTAGACAGCAAGACAATTAACTTGGAAATATTACTAATCCTGTTGACCATGGGTCATGGGTCAGATAAATAGGTCGGATCAGAGTCAAAACGATATTGTTTTTCTTCCAAAAATCCTGGTTTATGCAAGTAGTTTTGAGCTCGTTTGGAATTTCTTAATCCCGGGAACGTCAACAGATTCTGGATTTGAACTTCATGCAGGTTAACGTGGGTCACTGCGCTAGAATAAGCGCTGTCAACCTTTTGTTTTTAGGAACATACTAAGTTTCCTGATCCTTGACGCTCATTCAAATTCCAAAAATAATAACATTTCATAAGTTTTTGGTGGCCGTAACCTTTTGAAAGCCAAATTATGTCACTGACCTGAAATAACATTAATTAACTTTTGCTTAGTAGACGTATTTAGGTTAACGGTGGTTGCATGAAGCAGTCTGAAAGCGAGGGCGGCGCAGTACGGGGAGGGGAGGGGCGGACAGAGGGGGGTAGTTGCTCCTCCCTGCCGGCAGGCAGAAGGGCAGGAAGATTGATGCTTTTTTCGTTCCCCCCCCCCCCCCCAAAGAAAAAGGATCCCTTTTCCCAGCCCAAGGGCATTGTAACTACCCGTATATTATCCAGACTCAGATCAAGGAAGCCAATAACTGAGCTAGACAGTAACAAATCGCGCTCAGCGCTCAGACGATCCTTTGCTGCTTCAAGAGGTCCGTTGTCTGTGTTATGAGGTCACCCTTACAAATAAGATAGGTACTGCTCTAGACCAGGAGGCTCACTGTTGTATTAAGGAGGCCCGTTTGCTGGCTCGGGAAGCTCCCGTGACAAACTAGGAGGCCCCTTTTCTGGGTTAGGAGACACCCTCTGTATTCAGGAGGTCCCATTTCTGGAGCAGCGGTCCCCTTTCATGCATCAGATTGCCACGTTTCCGAGTTGGGATGCCCTGGTTTGGGATCGCGAGGACCTTGGTTAGATTTGGAGGCCCCTTGTTAATCGGAAGCATCCTGCTCTCGATGAGGACCCACTCTACGCATCGGGAGGCACTTTTCTAAAAGAGGAGGACCTGTTTTGGCTCGTGAGATCATTTAGAGCTGAATAGAAGGCCCCCCCCCATTTCGGATTTCTAATTGTCGATATTTATTTGCTTTGACGTTGTGCATATAACAATCTGATAAGAAAGCACATGCCTCGGTGCCCTTCCGTCGATTACGACAATGCGCGGAAGATCCCTGTGAGCAGGCCTCACTTTGTTCAGGAGACTCCTGGAAAATCCTGCCGACAACTCAAAATCTGTATCACCGTACCTGTCTGAGGGAATTTTGGACACTGATCTGCAGTTTGACCTTGTTTGATCTTGTTTCACCGACGTTCGTGACCTAAGGACCCCAAAGTTTGACACTAGTTAGGCCACATGCAGGCGAGCTCTCCTTTCAACGTGGTGTTTTTAGCTATCTTAGTTTTTGAGATCTCAGGCAGAAAGGTGACAAAGTCTCCCCCTACCTGAGCAGCGTCACACTCAACCGGTTACCTGTGCGTGTGTTTAACATTTCGGTGCGGCCGGGCCTTCCTGGACCCCCCCCCCCCCCCCCCCCCCGGTTGCGCCACTGGGTTTGGCCATTTCGATGCTATGAATTTAGCCTGGCATTATGATATTTGATCGCGTTTGATCGTTGGCTTGTTTATAAGACTGATTTAACCTTAAAGAACTGATTCATTTGTATTCGTCTTAGAGTAAACGAAGTGCTTATTTTTCAGGTTTTGTCAAGTTAACGAACACCGGAGCAGAGAGAGCACGACTCATTGATCTCACATTAAGAACTCCGTTTATCTCACTGGGGCTCAACTCGAATGCGACGGAGGACGCAGAGCTGTATAAATCGCATATAGTTCTCAGACATTCCTTACAGGTAAGCAGCTTCAGCAATGTCCACAAGCGTAACAGCACCGCATGGCTTCGTGGGATGTGTGGTATCCACAGACACGATGATAAGACGGACTGAAAACCAGAACCAGGTGGACTGTCCACTGTCATAAGGTGGTTTTGATCGCTGTCCGGTCGCGCTGGACTGTCCGCTGGTATAATATGGTCTGGTCGCTGCCAGGTTGCGCTAGATTGTCCGCTGTTATAACGTGGTTTGACTGTTGTCCAGGCGAGCTGGATGTTATTGCGGTTTGGTTAGTACTGGGTGCACTTGAAGGCGTGATGATGTGCTTTGGTGCAGGCCGCACCGGAGAGGTTGGTGTTATGCTGTTTTGGTTATTGCAGGGTTCGCCGGAGCGCGAGACGTCGCTGTTGCTGGAGGCCCGATCGGCAGAGGATGGCGACGGTGGACGGGTGAGCCACTGGATGGTCGCCACCGACTGGGACATCGCAGACGGCGTGAACATGGCCTGGGCGGCTCGCTGGGACCAGAAGGTACGTATGGCTCGGCCCGCTCTCTCTCTCTCTCTCCCTCTCGCTCACGCTCTCTCTCTCCCTGTCGCTCACGCTCTCTCTCTCCCTGTCGCTCACGCTCTCTCTCTCCCTGTCGCTCACGCTCTCTCTCTCCCTGTCGCTCACGCTCTCTCTCTCTCTCTCTCTCTCTCTCTCTCTCTCTCTCTCTCTCTCTCTCTCTCTCTCTCTCTCTCTCTCTCTCTCTCTCTCTCTCTCTTTCTCTCTCGTCAGCGCCTTGAAGTGCAGTGTTAGCATAGCTAATCACTCCACTCAACGAGGTGGCCACCAGCAGATAGCGATCCGCGCAGTTGTGTTAATTGTTATGTGTTTTGCTTGTGCAGCGTTACACACGGATGTAATTCTAGGTTAGTGGTTGAGCTATTTTCCTCACCTGAAATAGGTTTTGAGGCCGTAGAGTCTGGACAAACGCTTGTGCGTTAAGGTATGCGAAATAATGTATCTGCGTTGCAAATACGATGCACTTTTTCGTTCAGAAATGAGGATAAAGCTCTTCGAAAGGGCTATGACCTGTGTTGTCAATATTGTTGTGTCTTGAGGCATCAGCGTATCTTCTCAATATCACACTACCACTGTGTTCATTCGTCGTCAGTCCGTTTTAATGCGCGTGATTTGCTTTCAGCGTTCACCACTGGTCGACATGAATAAAATCCAAACTGCAAAACGTCCTGAAGACTTTAATGGAAGAAGTACATTCTCTATGGGCTACTCCTTAGATTTCCTGTCAACAGAAGATTCTAGTAAGGTAAAAAAAAAACCGGATCGGAATCGGGTCATTTGCTTCTACTTCACCATGCCACAGAAATCATTGTCATGATATACTTGACCCGACAATTAATGATATTGTGCCGAAACCCTCAACGTCATGCACACATGCATCCGTTATTCCCGAAGTGAGCGAGTGCTTACTGCACCGCCACTGGTAGGAATACGCGTGATAAAAGTTCCTTTACAGACAACGCCGAGATAGATCCCAATGTCCGTAAGTCTGGTGATACGGAGGTTCGCATGTAGGTTGTGTATGGTTCTCAGCTGTGAGAATGTCGATCCGCGTGACATGTGCGCAGCTCTCCCACCTTGAGGATCACGCGCGACCTGCGAGCTAAATCACGGTGCACTTCAACACCTTGAAGCCTTTCAGCCTAAAAGTTTTGGGACACGAAAGCCGCCAAAAGCTTTGGTGTCTCCCCGGCACTAACTGAGCCTAACTCGGCCTTTCGTGAACACGGCTGTGTTACTAACGAGCTGCGCCGACCCATCCGCGTACCATGCGTGCACGGAGACCGCTGTCCCCGTCGGTGCTGTGAGACAGCGTCCTGTCTGCCGTCCACAGATGAGGGTCAGTGTCGGACTGGAATACCCCGCGGGCGGCGTAGACCTGAGACTGGCTGCCGAACACGAGAACATCTATCGGGGGCTGAGAAACAAGATCATGCTCCGGTACGCTCCAGGTCGGTATTTTCAACAGTGTCCATGCCCTGCTCCGATGGCTAAACTTCACGTATTTCATATGCACGAGATTCGGTATCTGAAGACGCAGGTATGTGTGCATGATTGGCACATATACATGCATTGTCATATGTGCAAGGTGTATTGTAACAGTGTGCGCAGCAGTGCTTGAGCTACAGTGAAATAATTTGTGTGATACTGGGCAGGCTGTTAGATCAAACATTTCATGGCAATGGCTTTATGTCATAGGCGTGCGTAATGGGGATTGAGAAGAGCTACGATTAAACGGTTATGCACCGTATGCTGTACAAGCAAAGATGGTAGCTTACGACACCGAGATCGCTTTTGCACGTGAGTATTTGAGCTGCGTGGAGCGGCGTCTCGGCCGTGAGGGCGGTGGGGCTGCCTCTTCGCCTCTCGGGTGGCGCCCGCCGACAGCCGGGCTGACGCCGCTGCGCCGCCGCGCCGGCAGGCCGCGAGCTGCGCTCCTCGCTGAACCTGACCGGCCTGCCGATGTGGCGCTCCGGCCTGCTGGAGGGCAGTTGGCGACTGGACGTGCCTGGCTACCCGCAGCCGATTCAGCTGGGCGGCACGGTGCGCCGCGTGCCGCGCCAGCAGCCGTTCGACCCGCAGGATTACCGGGTACGACATCAGCCGGGCCCGCCGCCGCTCGCACAGTATGACGTCAGCCAGGCCCGGCGCGCCCGCACAGTATGACGTCAGCCAGGCCCGGCGCCGCTCGCACAGTATGACGTCAGCCAGGCCCACCGCCGCTCGCACAGTATGACGTCAGCCAGGCCCACCGCCGCTCGCACAGTATGGCGTCGGCCAGGCCCGCCGCCGCTCGTACAGTATGACGTCAGCCAGGCCCAACGTCGCTCGCACGGCAGGCGGCTCCGGTCATCGGTCTGTGGGAGTCATGATTGAATTCGGAAGCGTGGTACTGGCGCACTAGTGTGACGCGGTAATATTACGCTGCTCGCACTGAGTTTCTCTTGCCCTCCGTCGAAGTACTGACGCTGAGAGTAGCGAGTCTGTAGAAGCAAAGCTCTTCAGCTGACTTCAAAGCTCGAGCTGACTTCAGCTCGAGCGGGCTGGCGCCGACATCGCTCCTCGGCTGACACCTCGCCGGATGACCTACAGTTCCGGCTGGACGGCGGCTGGCTGAACGGCGGCTCGGCGCAGGTCGTCGGCCAGTACCGACTGCGACCCGACCCGCAGAGCCAACTGGCCGAACATACGGCCGGGTTCAACCTCACAGTTAACCAGCAGCCGCTACTGGACGGCCACTTCCGGCTGGCGCTCTCGCCGGCCAAGGTCGTCGTGGAGGTCAAGGTCAGTCGTGACAGGTGCTTCAGGGACACGGGTGCCGATTTGATTGTTTTGTGGGGGTCCGGCCTCCCACCCAATGTTAAGTTGCCCCCCCCCCCCGATGTTTTAGCCGGAGCGCATCACAAAAGCGTAGGAGAAAGTTAACCATTACACAAACATAATTTTGCATCCTTCCGCACAGGGCTTCGCCACGGAAAGTGCAGCGGGGTAAGTTGACCAACCGTAAAATCAAAATTTAAATTATTCCTGAAATGAGGAATAACTATAGCTTTTGGAAGTCAACTTTTCTATATTTGACCCTTTTCTTAGATCTTTTTTAGACCTTGGTCAACCTTGGGTCTGCAAGGTTGGCTAAGAACCTAAAATTGTTTTACTTGAGTGCCGAATTTTGTTGTTTTGAAATTTAACGGACACAAAATCGCGTAACATGTTTGTTTTTTGGGCGAGATATCATTAGCTCAAGTTATGGGTTCAATGTGGATATAAAACGAGAAAAAAACGCAGAAAATGAAATTTTCTTAGACGAATTTTGAATTGGATTCTATGCCGTACATTGCTTATTGCCAGTAATACTAACCTGCCATCCCATCATTGTAATGGAGGTTCTACCGATCCATTTTGTGTCGGGCCCTTATCCAAGTAGAGATAAGGAAAGGAATTTCATCCTGCCGCGCGCCTACACGACTTTTGGCTGCCCTACACCAAGCTGACACTGTAAATCCAACGACCGGATGGTCCTCTTTGATGAGCCATACACCAGCACTTATTTTTGAAGTCTAAGCCAGTACCACGTGTTTCGCCACATCAACATTGTGGTCAGTGTAACTTAAGCGATTTAGAGAAGTTGAGCTTTGGCAACGACGATTCGTGTGTCAGCTCAATATATGTTCTTTTTTAAATCAGTTACACACACACACACACACACACACACACACACACACACACACACATATATATATATATATATATATATATATATATATATATATATATATATATATATATATATATATATATATATATACGTGAAATGGATGCGTGAAATACATGCTTAATATATGTGAGACATCAGTGTTAGTCTTATTCCTCGGAGAAAAACCAGAAGAGTGGAAATAAAGTTGGGTTGATATTTCGGAAACATGCCTTTATCGAAACAACAACAAAAGTGAATTCAAAATCACCTGCCGATGGTCCCACTCGATTTTTCTTTTTTTCTTTTGAAAAAGCAAGCCACAGTTTTTTACAGGACACAACATTAAGGGAATTAAACAAGGGGCGACTGTCAGCCATTACCACGATACAGTGCCTTTCTAAGAATTAGATGCGCGTACGTACGTTTACATGCTAACGAATGACACATATTAAGAATTACGATTATTGTATATTAAGATTAAGGATTTTTAGATAGGCACAGTATTGTGGCAATGGCTGGCAATGGCTCTTTGTTAAATCCCCTGAATGCTGGTGTCCTGTAAAAGCTGTGGTTTGCTGTTCAAAAAAGAAACCTGAAAAATCGAATAGGATCGCCGGCAGGCAATTTTGAATTCACTTCTGCTATTGTTTCGATAAACGCATGTTGCCGAAATATTAATCAAACTATATCTCCATTCTCCCGGTTTTTCTCCGAGGAATAAGGCTAATGCTACTGCCTTATCTGTGGGAATAATGTTCCTCGCTAATGCACGGAACAACTTGCGCAATTCTTAATATGTATATTCAATACGTGTTTTTTTGCCAGCAGTTCACGCGTTGCATCCGTCGGGGACCGTAATGAAGCGATTTATGTAAGCCGCCGCTTCGCTGTGGCTGTTTTTGTAAAATGATGTCGCCAGTGACCTAGAAAGCAGTTACCGGATAGTACAACTCGAATAAATGCATGACATCATCGAAGGGAGTGTTCCACGTCTTTGTGGGGTTTTAAACTGAGATTTTAAACCCCCACTTGATAAGCTCATTACCTGTCATTGCCTTCCTGAACTACCATTTTGAAGGTCATTCAGTGCAGTTCACAGGCATGCTCTTTTTAAAGCTTAAAACCTTATTGTTTCTGAGCTTGAAACCAGAAAGCTTGTGCAGAATATTTTGCACAGACTTTTCCAAGCTCGTCCAGACATTGGTGACGTCAAACAAACGTCAGGTAAATACCACCGCGTCATTGGCCATGTATTGCTTAAGGCCAAGAGCAAATGTGATCATCGAATTATTTGTGTCGGTCGCACGTGAATACAATTCGTGGAATCAGCGGTCGTCAATTGGCCTCCCACCATTTTTATGCGCTGAGCAGTAGTCTTAAACACAGGTCGGTTATATGGATTAAAGCCCTATCGACCAGAAATGATTCAGGTCTTCGGGGTGAAGGAAAATGGTTAACGGCGGGGCAAGCTTGCATGCGCCTAAGAGGCCAACCGCCGATCGTTAACCCGCATATGTGCGCTGGGTATCCAGTCGGGGTTTCACTCCCACGGGGCTCTCGGCCCACTCGTGGCTGACGCATGCAGCTTGCTCCGGACAAGCGAAGTGCCGCGAGGATGCAAGATGAGGCAAGATGGAGGAGAAGAGGGTCGATCACGTCTTGCACTATATAATGCAGGAATTTGGACAGTGGTACAAGTTATGGCGGAAGAATGGGAATTGAATAACTTAAGAATAGTGTCATAACCGGGTATACGAATGCAAGCAAACAAAATAAAATCCCGAACAAATATACTAAAATACCTCGAGAAAAGGCTAAAACGCGCGCACAGAACGATACTAGGGTTTCGTCAATGCGCGCAAACACGCGCGTCACCTTTCGGCAGGTTGAGGTACGACAAGTTAGTCAGCCCGCCCTTTGCACTCCATGGATCTTTATCATAAAATCCCGCACAATATCAATATCAATATCCCGACGCCGTTTTCAGTTTGTTTTCAATACGATCAAACTCTTTAAAAATTGCGGTTTTTAAATAAACGACAAATAAATACACCAACCTCGTGGTTGGTGCAAGCTTCTGATCACCCTGCAGCGATTTTGACCCACTTGCCCCTTGACTTAGACGCTTTCCACTTTGGAGCGGTGCTGTAGGCTGGATGGTGAGGCACTGTGCTGACGAATCCGTTTCGTGCGACGGTCATGAATCTGCCACTACAGGGGTGTAGTTTCGCAAAATAGGTTTTGGGGGCGCTGAGAAATGGCTAAACCTACCCTTATATATATATATATATATGTATATATATGTATATATATATACATATATATATATATGTATATATATATATGTATATATATATATATATATATATATATACACTAAGACTGGCTTCACTTTTGATTTGACCAAGTTTCCTCTCAAAGTTAAGGAGTTAGAGTCTTCCGCAGCTGAAATGAAGACTGCGTTCCTGTGTTAGTACATTGTCTTGCTCAGTCCCGGCGAGAGATGTTATCATCGGGCATCATTATCTTCTTTGTCTCAATGGTCGGCACCAGGTTTCCGTAATCGATTAGTGTCGATCTTATGCAGCTTTGGACGTTGTTGGACGGGTATTGCCTCGGGAAGAAAGAATGTGTGTTGATGTGCGCGACTATCAAAGGCTGCCACGAAGTCCCTAGCAGATAGTCGCAAGGCAGGCTTCAAGCCGCAAAATAGTATTCGCAATATGCATGTTCAAAACGACTTACGTTGTTGCCCCTACACGCAGCCGTTCCACGCGCGACACAGAGACCTGAGCCCAAGCCACCATCCCCGGGGTCGTGTCTTATGCAATATATATATATATATATATATATATATATATATATATATATATATATATATATATATACATGTATGTGTGGGTGTGTGGGTGGTTGGGTGCGGGTATGGGTGTGGGTGTGATAGCCACTAGGTGATTTAAATGGCATTATCTAAGAACGTTTTATGCACCCCGAACGAAGGTCTAGATCCGTCCTCGTTTAGTGGGGGCGAATAAAAGTTTCTGGGGATAGAGGTCCACGTAAAAGAATAGAAATTGACATTCGTAAATGCATGCATGGACATTTTCAGTCAACTCACCCAAAAACTACGCTTCATGCATTATTTTAGACATGTTAGACAATCATGTATTATTTTAGTGATATCAGTTTGGCGATATCGTACACCAAAAGCAAAAGCTAGCTGGGAGACTGGCCATTCTTCGCCAGGCCTTCTAATAAACCCTACACGGCGCGTGCGTTCTGCACCGATCCTGACCCCGCTTTGTCGCCAGGCGAACTACGAGGCGTCCGAGTACGGCGTGGAGGTGCAGTACGACGTGAGCCGCGCCGAGGAGGACCTAGAGCGGTCGGTGCGCCTGGCGCTGGGCTACGCCGGCTCCTCCTACAGCGTGCGCGGCTCGCTTCGCCTGGGGCACACGTTCCGCACCACTCTCGACCTCTCGCTGGACGGGTGAGGGCGGCGCCGGCCGCGGACCGGCGCTCGGAGCGACCGCTCGGCACGGCGGTCACAGAGCCTCCGGGGCGTCAAGTGCTCGGGGCGCGCGGCGTGCCTCTGCGAAGAGATGCGGCGTGCCTCTGTATAGACCGGCGGCACTGCACGCATGATCGGAATGGGCAAACGACGTGGCCAGTCAAAGTTTTTCAGTCAATGGTTGTGTTGCTAAGGCCTCTGTTTGGGGGACCTCCTAAATGGCTGGCCTTTGCGAGGATTTCGTAAGATATTGTCACTTCAGTTAATTATCTAGTGCTTGCCTGCTGTGCGTGCATATTAACTGTAGACTGAGTCCACAACTACCCTTACGTTACGCATTGCGATGCGGAACCGTAAGCTGTAACGTGTTAAATATTCAATTTGATACGATGATATGCATAGTGCATTATGGTAAGATATGGCGTGGTATTGGATACGATATGGCATGGCATCATTTGATGAATGGTGCGGTGGTTTGACACTCTTTGATATGATATGTTCTGGCAATAGGCGATTAGGCTGGCGATTCGTGCATAGCAAGACTCATACGCCATCGTCACAGCGCCATATGCCCTTGATTGGTGCTTCGGCAGCCAGCGGGACATTCAGGTGATCTTGGGCGGCTACCGCACGGCCTCCGTGCTGGAGTGGGTGGTGGACCTCAAGTGGGACGCCAACCGAGACCCCACCCAGCGCCTGCTGATGGACTTCCGGCTCGAGGACCCGGCGCCATCACTGCGCAATCTGACAGTGATGGTGGTCTACCCCGTCAACACCGTGCAGCTGTCCATGGACAGGACCATGACAGGTAGACACGCGCTGAGAAGCTGTCGCCGGGACGGCGACGACCTCTGGCAGAAAATGCGCCGTGTGCATTTCAATACGCTGACCTTTAAAAATGGTTCAGGATGCTGTGACTTTGTCTAACGCGGTATACGCGGTATGTTCTGTTATGCATCATAACAAATGTCTTTTAACGCAATTACTCACCTCAGCTACCGCGCGCTGATAGAGTGGCGGGGGCCAATTGCCAGTAATCGTACCGCATAATCTGTCCGTACGTTCTACGTAATATAACGTTCCATCTACTTGTAAGATGAACTCGGTTGACGCTGATTTGTTCGTGAATTTATCTGCGCCCAGCACAACGTTCTGTCAACTGATGCCGAAAAATGTGAGGAAGTCAGCGCTCCTACGCCGTGTGAAAATCCCCCGCTGACGAGAAGCGCTCGTTCCCCGCCATTGGCTGCCGCTGCGCAGTTCTCGCTCACCCCGGTGTCCCGGCGGTCTGTGCAGCCGTGCCGTCCGCCCGGGCCAGGGGCTGGCAGCGGCCCTCCAGCCCGGTCTCGTCGCCTGGCGGACACGACGGCTGTCGTTCAGCGTCGGCTCTGCTCACTGCGGTCAGGCTCGTGGCACCGGCTGCGGTACGACAACCATATGGTGCTGGCGTTCGGCGCCGCCGAGCCGCTGGAGGTTACCGTGACGGCCAACACCCGGCTGGACCAGCCCGACAGGCAGGTGTCGGTGGACGTGTCGGCCAGCTCGCCCTTCCCCAAGTGGAGGGCCAACGCGCTGAAGTTCAGGTCAGTCTCGCATGGGGTGGCAGTGCCGCGCCAGGGCTTCAGATGTGGAACGGGGCGTTGGGAGCTTTTCTATGCTTCGAGATGATGTGTAGCTGGGTGAGGTGCCTGCTATGCCGCCGGGAGTGAGTTGTGCACGGCGGGCACCATCTGGTGCCGCACAAGCAATCCTACCTTATCTACAATTAATCTAAACTGTTTGTTCTCTCGCGCCATCTGGCATTATTTGCGAGCGAGCTCTTCGAAACACGTAATTTGGTCGAAGTGCGGTTGGCTGCTTCGGCCGCTTCGAAAAGACGCCACTGCGTCTTCGCACGCCTCAACGTTACGCACACCCACACGCCCGTTGGACCTTGAGTCTGATACGACCGGTAGGCACACGCGGTCGCCGCGTGACCTGACCTCCCAGCTGGACGTGTCGGTGGGCGGCGAGCGGGTGGACCTGACCGTGAGTGGGACGAACCAGCTGCCTCGCAGTCTGCGGCTCACCGGCAGCCTGCGCTCCAGCCTGCAGCGGTGGCGCCAGGTCGACACCTCGCTCTCCTACGCCGCCGAGCGAGATGAGATTTCCTCCAGCTTCGCCCTGGTGAGAGCAAGAAAGACTGCAGTGCTGACATCTGCCGAGTTACTGATTCACCGATTCACGCTGCTTGACTGTTCTCGCGATGGGAAAGATGCAACTGAATCTGTTGCGCCATTTCTGTCTCGCTCCGATCGGGTCGCCGGAAAAGATTCTGCGCGTCCGGCAAAAATTATACGCGACGTCACGTATCATTTTTTTTCGTCCGGGTCACTGCCAGCACCAGATAGCGCAGAATCCATGAGGTATGACGTCATAACTGGCGTCGACAGCATAGATTCTGCGCCGTCTGTATCGCTGTGAATACAACTCTAGTAGCTGATTTGCGATTGGTGCTCCACGGCAACATCGAGCCACAGGAGGAGGTGCCAGGGTGCCAGGGTGACCGTCTATGTTGTGTGGCGTCTGGAAAAAATCGCATGCAGAAAAGAGATTTCCGGATTCAGTTTTGGTATTCAACTTTCTGTCTAGGAACCATCTTCCCTTCATGCGATTGATCCTATTCATTTGCTTGGTCGGATACATATAGCCATTAGGTTTATTTTGAAGGACTTGAGTTTACGTCTCAAAATGTCTGACGCAAGGTATTGTGTTAAACTTGCTAAAGCTGTGCTATGCCACGCGGGACATTCCCCACTGACAATGATATTTATGATCGGAGACCGCTGATTACGGGCCCCTGGCGCGATGGTACATAGAGAAGAATAAACTCTAATTATTTTCTTCATAGTCGAAGCGTTCGGCATCAGGAAATCGAGAACTGCTTTCAGTTTGATGTCTCGCCACATTCGAAGGCGAAAGGCTGTCTTGCTATTTTGCGTGTGTTTAGTTCTTAGTTCTCCCCAGGTACCTGCAGCGGCTCACGTACTACCAATGGTTTGAGAAAAGTGAATGGTTTTAATTGGGCGTCGCCAGTTGACAAATGTCTCGTGATTTGTTGTTTTTTAGAGCACGCCGACCAATAAGCTGACGGCGGACCTAGGCCTTCACGACCTGAGCACGGAAGGCCTGAGGCGGTACCGGGGCGAGCTGAACGCCACCACACCCTTCCAGGTATGCCTGTCGCAAGTCCCACACGTGCGCCATCCTGCACTGCTGCTCCTCTGTTTCTCAGAGTGCGCAATGGCCCGCGGACGAAAACCGACGCGGGTCTGGAAGGCGGCGTCTCTGGAGCGACGGAAGAATGTGGAGGGAATTTTGTGGCGAAGACAGCTATCTGAAGGAATATTTGCCCATGTCTCGAATTGTGACTCCAAATATTATTCTAACATTGCTATATCGATTTCAGGGTTTGCATCAGCTCAGTTACTTTTTGGACGGCCAGCTGGGAGGAGGTGAAATGGAGGTGACCGGCGAAAGCAGGGTGGAGAATATCGGTCACAATCTTATTCTAAAGGGTGCGTAATTCACAAGAGCGAATAGTCAATTGGTGAGAGTTGGTTGTATGCACACACACACACACACACACACACACACACACACACATGTATATATATATATATATATATATATATATATATATATATATATATTGAGGCGCGCGTAGAAACACGTTACAAACATTTCCCTTTTAAGAGGCTGTATACAGTTTGAGGGGTATTTCAAATTTCAAAGATCTCTCTAGAAATCCGTCATTGATCGGAAGCAGCTGATGCATTACTGGACCAGACTAAAACAGCTTACATGAAAATGCGCGGACACGAGGTATCCAACTGCTGTGATAGGTGTGCGTGCCCCTCGGATACCGGCAGGTCGCGGTGCAGGTCGCACCGGCCGTCTGGAGGGCTCTCTCGTGGTGGACCAGATCCACCCGCTACAGAACGCACTGACTGCCAAGGTGCTGGTGGACCCCACTGAGGATGGGCGCGCTTTCAAGGTCAGTCGTGCCACCTCATATTTTGTTGTGTTTTTGGTATCGGTGTGGTTTTGGTCTCGTGAGAACGCCTCCAAACGGCTTGCTGGAGTCGAATTTGCCGATCCAATTTGGTTAATTCCTTGATGCCACAGTCCTCGGGAGTCGCCCTTTCATACACAGGTGTGTTTAATGTACACAAATGCAACTGAGCTGATAAAATGTCGTTACACATCTCACGTGTTGTATACGCACATGTCCGTCGTCCGTCGTGGCGACGCTGCTGCCACCTGTGGCTGGCCGCTGCAGCAGCGCTTAGCCGGGCGTCGCTGAGCGTCGTCCTCCCGGCCGGCACTAACCAGGCCCGCCTTCCGGCAGGCCTCCGCCGTGTGGCCCGACAATCGCCTCGCGCTGGAGGGTGACATGCACTTCACGTCCGCGAGCGACTTTGGCGTGGGTCTGCAGTTCCTCTCACCGTTCGAGGCCGTCAAGGACGCAGGTCTGATGGTCAAACACAAGTTCGTCCAGGACGCGTGGCAAGACCTTGGGTGGAAGGTTCAGGTACGTCTCTGCCTGGCGGGAAAGGAAGCCGTATGGCCATGACATTGATGTACAATAAGGAGGTAAGATGACTGATGACTTTGGGTCGCTTACTTGCATTGTTCGCGTCGTGTATGTCTTACGTGCCAGTCGCCTAGGGCATCTGAAAATTAAATCGCAGAAAGATGCTTTCCTGAGGACTCGCAAGCCTAGGAAATTCTAAAGGTGCGTGGTGGGGGGGGGGGGGGGGGGAGGGGAGGTCAGTGAGAACGAATTCATTACACTGATTTTTACCTTTTTCTAAGTGGCCACTTTGCTAAGAAATGCAATATGCGTGATGCGTGTGTATGGACAGCTAGCCCCCTTTGTTGCGTCTGAGTTATTAACATCCCCATCGGTTACGAGTCCAAGAGCCCGCACATGATAATGACATCCGTAACAGTCCCCGGAGGTGGTACCCGATGAAAATCACCCGGTTCCATGATAAACTGGAGATACCACTGGTGTCGGTTACCACTGACAACCAGCCAAGGTGCCCTGTTGACGATTCCTGACCAGAGGCGGATCCAGAGGGGGGCATGAAGTCTTCCCTCCCTTGGGCCGAAGGAGCACCAAATCCCGTGGTCAATGGGCACACAGTTCCTCATTTTGCGTCCACATAACCTTTATTTTCAGCACACCAAAGTTCAGGGCCTCGACAAGCGGCCCCAAACCTTCAAGTTCAACGTGAACAATCGGAAAATTGGCCTCCTGGAATAAAGTGGACAAATTCCGGCGGACTGTTATTGTGGAAGATATTTTGTAGATTAAAAAAGAAGAATCTGACCGTAAAGCGGCTGAAATCCGAGGACATCTTTGTGAGGGTGTATGTGGGGGAGAGGCACAGCATCCCAGGGGGCACCACAATGCAGCGTCGCCCCTCCCTTGATGAAATCCTGGATCCGTCCCTGTTCCTGACGATCTACGCTGGTAATTGCTTCCAGCAGTCTTTGGCTGATGGTCTTTTCAGCTTTTGGTGACCGATGGCAGCCAACGTCATTGCTGGTGATTCTACTGGCTGTAGATGACGTCCGGCGCCCATTGGCACCGTCTGCTGCTGTCTGGTACTGTTCGATGCCACCTGGTGTCGTCTGGCGGCGTCTAGTGCCGCCTGGTGCCATCTGGTGACCACTGCCGATGACCGGCAGTCGGAGGCGCGCGTGGCCTGGCTGCTCGACAACGCGATGGCCCTGACGCTGGACGCCGACCTCGACTCGCTCAGCGCGTTCGACGCGCGCGCCGAGCTGAGCCTGCCGCTGCCGCGCTGGAACCGGGCGTCGGTGAGCCTGCGGAACAGGCCGCAGCCCGACGTGCGCGGTCTGTCCACCGGCTTCGAGGCTGCCATCGCCGGACATAAGGTGAGCCAGCCGGCTGCAGGCGCTGACGCCGGCGTGGGGACGCGTGGGAAAGGGTTGGGTTGTTGGATGGACGTCTTGGGATGCTGTGGTGACTGACTCGATGCCTTGCTGAAGCCGACTTTCTCGTACGGCTGTGAGGACTTTCTCTGTGTTACGGCGCGCTCTCCAACGCTGCTGTGGTAACTGGCTCTGATTTGTGACACATCTCACGAGCGCAGCTCACAAACTCCCAAGCCGACTAACCAGCTGTGCAAGTCTGTGGCGCAGCTCTGGCTCTACTGCATCGCCTGACGCCGCCCTCGCCGCAGCGCTGGTGCGGCGACCGGTGCCGCCCTGCTCTTCACCGCCGCCGAGGTGACTGACCCCCCCCCCGCGCGCCCTACCGCAGCTGGCGCTGACCGCGGACGGCTCTCTGGGCGTCCTCCCCTCCGACAAGCGGTACGGCACGGTGACGCTGACGCTGCCGGCTGGCCCCGTCCAGCAGCTGACGGTGGCCGCTAGTGTGCAGCGGTCGAAGCCCGGGGTATACGAGACCTTCTTCTCGCCCGTCTGGAGACTACGCGACGGTACCTCGCAGGAGGTGAGCCGCGAGGTGCCACGTTGCTTCGCCCTGGTTATCGCTGAACTTGGACCGCGCTCTGTGTCCGTGTAGGACTAGCCCTCTCGTTCTACACCGCTGGCATTTGTATCCTTGCCTCGTATGTCGTTGTATTTCTCCTATTTCCAGATCTTTTTTCGCTAATGGATATGTGTAGCTCCACTGCAAAGAATTTCTCATCACCCTCCTAACCTGCGCCGCCATTGTTGCTGTAGTCCCTGTGATGCTGGCTACGAGACAGCCTAACATAAATGCGTGACTGCAAAGGTGCGAGTTAATTCATTAGTTTCTTATTTTATTGCAGCAAAATTTGTCAGCGAAAAAAGTGTTTAGTTTTTGACAGACAATATTTGCCAACCGACAAAGATCATACTTAACGGTATTATCGGCATTTAACTTGGATTCTCCGGTACATGAATGTGCTATCAATTTAGCGGTCTCAAATGGCCGAGTACATGCAATTACTCTACTTGAGTGGGCTTGACCACGTCGCCTATGCGCATAACGTATGAAAAATCACTCATGTATTCAGTCGGGTTGAACAGCCACCGGCTAAACGGCAGCTGCATGAACATGCGAGGCGAGACTTTTTGTTCAACAGGAATGAACTTGCTTAGGTGGTGGAAGCAGCACATTAGCAACAAGCTCAGAAGGTCATGTTTGCCCAGAAGGTCTCGAATTCCTTCCTGCAAGCCATTCTGACAACATGCCATGTTACATGAAGCAGACACGGCCGCGCGCCATCTCGAGCCGCGCGTGGCGTCGTGCGTCGCTGCACATGACTGACCGACTGGCTGACATGACAGACTGGCATGGCTGACATGACATGACAGGCGCGTGCCGTGGCCTGCCTGGCTGCCAACCACCGGCTGCCGCTTCCAGATCCGCCTGACGAGCGTGGTGGATCTGGGCACGTCCGGCGCGGGCTCGCTGCAGGCCAACCTGCGCCTGCTGACGCCGTGGCTAGACATGCTGTTCCTGGAGCTGCACCACGCGCCCACCTCACCGGGCGACTTCGTCACACGCTTGGTGGGCTCGCTCGGACGGCAGAGTGTGCACCTCAGGGGACAGCTGATGGTGAGGCGCGGAGAGGTCACCGATGGGCGGCGGTAGTGTCTGCACTTGATACGGTCGTGCTTTATCTATTAACGCGAAGAAACGCTGGTCGGAGACTCAATGAACACGTTAATCAGCGTGATTAGAAACTGAATTCTCATCTTATCCCAGCTTTGTATATGTTGGGGATAAGCTTTCGGCTCTGAGTGGTCTCAGGTCTGGGCATTGACCAACAATGCTATCAAACAATGAAATTCACGTGCTCAAAGATTTGTGCGTTTGCTGCTATGCTTTTTTTGTTGTCAGTGCTCAGACTTGAGGAATGTCCAAGTCAAAAAACCAGTCCCCAGTATACAAAAAGTTTGAACATGATGAGACTGGTCTCTTGTCACTCTGCTTTATGCAGTCATTCACAGCTTAATTGTAATGGTTATCTACGACGAGCAATAGCGAACCATGCGCCCGTAACGTGAATGCAGTGCTTGATACCTACATGCTTGGAGTGTTTGCTGCAAATGCTACACCCCCTTTTATTCAGGGTCTGAGAGAACAGAAGGGGTACAAGTTTCTGCTGAACACGACATCTAATATCCAGTTCATACCCGCGTTCGATGCTATGACAACGGTAGTGACCTACCCCAATTACCGGATGACGTTTTCTGCTTGGACGCCAAAAGAGGTCAGTTTCCTGTGTTTGCAACTTTCCGGGCACGGCGACAGGCTGCTCCTTTTGAACAGCATGCATGAGTGGGAACGTATTTGTATATCACCTAAACTTGGTTATTGGCTTCTTCGCGGCAAGAAGTTTCTATATGCTGACCCAATTCGAGACCATTCTCACGCTGCCTTGTTCCAGCGTATACGCCCGTCTCTGCTTCGATGTTTGTGTGACACGCCGTCGCTGGATGATGGCTTGCAGCCGTTGCATGATAAAGCTTTGTAAGCCGCCATTCGTGTGTTGTGTTCGATCTGAGCCCGACCACGGTGCCGCGTCTGACGCGCCGGCCGCGTCTCCAGTACCGGCTGACGGTAACGAGCGACCGCAGCATGGCGGCCAGCACAGTAATCGAGACCGAGCTCCGGACGCCACTGAGCGGGGTCGAGCTCGTCAGGGCCAGGTGAGCGGCGCCAGCTCGACACTAGCTGGCGCCGGCCGAGCGGCTGACAGCGCCAGCAGACGGCACTCTGAAGAGGTCTCCGCCTGGTTCGCTTCTCTCATGTGGAGCTATATCACTTCTAAATCAGCTACGCAAAATTAGTAAAGCAGGCGTTAATGTCGTAGGGCCACAACTGATTTGGTTGCAGACGGTTTCATATTTTTGCAGCACTGTTGTCATAACGGCATGGATGACTAGGACCATAAAAAGCGCGTATTGCCGTCTAAGGTGGGTGCACGTGTGCGTCTGCGCGTGCCGACATCGGCGTCACGTGTGCGTCTGCACGTGACGACATTGTGTCATGTGTACGTCTACGAGAGTCGACATCTGCGTCACGTATGCGTCTGCGCGTGCCAGCATCTGCGTGGCGTGTGCGTCTGCGCGTGCCAGCATCTGCGTGGCGTGTGCATCTGCGCATGCCAACATCTGCATCAGACGTGCGTCTGCGCGTGCCGACCTCTGAATGGCGTGTGCGTAAAGCGCGTGCTCGCGACAGGGTTGAGCTGGAGCAGCGCTCCGAGGAGCGGGCGCTGTCGGCCGAGGTGACTCTGCCCAGCCGCGAGCGGATCAGGGCCAGCGGCACCCTGGCGCCCATGGACCTCCGGCTCTCCGTCACGACACCCTTCGACGGCTTTCGGTGAGAACCGGATGGGGTGAGGCGGAAGGTCCGCGCACCGGCGATGTGGACACGGATGGGCGTGGGGAGATCGAAACAATGCGCCTGCCCCAGACGTACTTAAGAGAGGAGTTTTGGGTACAGCCGGTAGGACAGTCGGCTTCTTCTCTTGCACTAAAATGACACAAATATTACGCTGACGTCACTTTTCAGAAATATTTTTACGCAGTTTATTTTTCTCCATGAGCTCACTCCGTGTTCCATCATGTTCAAAGGGTATGATAAATATGGTGTATTTATGTGCGTAGCAAAGTTACGTAAAACAGTAGGTGAACAGCTAACAACACGATGCAGTGCATCTGTTCTTGTTAATAATGTCCCTGTGTCGATATTTACAGGACCGGGTCGCTCCGCCTCTCGATGGGGGTCGTCGCTGAGCGACTGAACCCCGTTCTGCGGATATCTTGGGACAGATACAAGGTTGAACTGATCGGCACCGCTATTCCCGGTGAAGATGGCAGCCGTCCGACGCAGGTGACCTCGGTGTTATGTGTGACAACCATGGAATATTTAACCAGCTATAGCAATTCGCACCGGGTGGGAATGGGCAGATGTCATTGCCAACTAGTAAGCTGCATCATTAAAATTAAAGTAATACGATAAGACACACTGCCGTGCAATTTGATATCCACGACTTGTGAATGAAAAATAAATGATCGAAGGATATGTCAGATCACTGAGACATGCCATCATCTCTGAAACTCTGCAAAATTTCACGACGCCTGCACGCTTGTGGTTGGTGCGATGTCGTCCGATGACTATCGGTGGAACATTAAACCTTTTGGCAGGACATTGTTATCTCGTGAAAGTCCACTAGCGGGCACGCAGCCTTTGATTGGGTCGATGCCTCTTGAATGGAATACAAGACCAGCGATATATGCTTACCTTGCATGGTCATCCCAATCATGTAAAAGACGTTGTCTAGCTCTAAATCTGATCCAGAGCAGGATTTTTTCCTACTTAACTCCGAGAGTCCCGTGCCTGTTTTCAACTTAATGTTCCCAGTTTACGGTTCACCAGTAAGCTCACTTGGAGGCCATTGGCTGCCAACAAGTGTCAGTCAGAATCAACTATATTCGATCCAAAGTGTAGAATGTATTGCTTTACTTTTGTTTCGTGACCGTAGTTCAGCTTGGAGCCGAGTACTGGGGAAAGCCTTTGACGTGAGGGTCACCAGGGACACGAGTGGACATAGAGTCCTCTCGGGGAAGGGCAATCCATACTAACCAGACATTGTTCACGTAACCATTGGAGAATACGTGACAGAGGGCGGGGCATGAAGCATAACCATTCTTACAGCAGTCGTATTATGATTTGTAAAACGCGAAAGACCAGCAAAATGGCTGCATTGTTAATTGCACCATACTTGTTTCTGGTATCCGCGAGAAGGTTTGCCTACTACGATTTAAGACATCGCGTGACCCGCAAGAACGGCACGGATCACCCAGTTCACACTTCAGTCTTGGGAACATACTCGCCGCTGTAGCGTTAACCCGGCCTCCACTAAGTCCTCGAACGCTTCAGGTGACGGGGGCACTCCTCATCGACGTTCCCGTGGGTCCGCGCGTCACCGGCAACTTCCAGCTCAGCGAGCACGCCGGCTCGCGAGGGCTCGTCTACGACCTGACAGCGGCATCGACGGTCGATCAAAACAGCTACCAGATGGAGGGGCAAATCTTCACCGGCGCGCAGAAGGCCGGCTTCGACATCCGGGTAAAAACAACGGCCAGTGGCAGAATTCACTCTTCCGCTTCCGGCCTGCAGCAATATCTGTTCACCTGGTTTGTGTAGCTTGTAAATGCGTATGCGTGTGCTCAAACGTTGCCACACACATCTCATGCCACTGGTAAGGACAACGAAGTATATATATATGCCGGTCATAACTTAAAATCCAATTGCATCGTTGATTGGAAGGATATTAAAACAAAAGAGGGTGGTAGTCTGGGCCATCACGTGAAGCCCGTAATTTTGAAAACGGTCACTTGTGTAAATAAGAACATTGATATGTCGCACCACTGCTTCTATGATCTATGAATGAGCAACTTGCGTAAAGGATCGAGCTCAGCGCAGCTAAATTTTAAAAAACATGCGTCAAAGATTGCGGATTTTTATCATTAATTTCACGACATACTTGTGTTGCAAGTCGTTCGATGGTAACCATACAATGCTGCGAATATTCAGCATGGAAATCACGGTGATCTTGGTCTCAGTGACGTCAAAGGTGACTATTCATTGAGTCAAATAGTTACGCTGAGTCTTTCGCAAATGTTTGTTCTTTTTCCGGTCGTTATTTACATACTTTCGTCTTCGCGTTCGATGTGCTATTGTTCTAACGTTATACTTTGTAGAATGTCCAAATATTCTGAACCAAAATTCTCAGCCCTAATTATGAATTGTGCACATGGAGAAATGGATGCATGAAATAGACAATTAATAGAATAAAAAACATCACCACAGATCAGAAGAATCGTCTTAAAGTTGCCTTAATCTCCTAAGCACCACCTTGGCCTGTGCTGTCATAACTTAGCACCAGTTTGTCCCTGTCGTCGTGGCTAAAAGCCAGTAACAGCGGCAGGCCACCGTCACATGTCTCTCACCCTGTCGTCCTGGCCAGAGGCCGGTAACAGCGGCAGGCCACCGTCACATGTCTCCCCACCCTGCCGCCATAGAGGCCGGTAACAGCGGCAGGCCACCGTCACATGTCTCCCCACCCTGTCGTCCTGGCCAGAGGCCGGTAACAGCGGCAGGCCACCGTCACATGTCTCTCACCCTGTCGTCCTGGCCAGAGGCCGGTAACAGCGGCAGGCCACCGTCACATGTCTCCCCACCCTGTCGTCCTGGCCAGAGGCCGGTAACAGCGGCAGGCCACCGTTACATGTCTCCCCACCCTGTCGTCCTGACTAGAGGCCGGTAACAGCGGCAAGCCACCGTCACATGTCTCTCCACCCTGTCGTCCTGGCTAGAGGCCGGTAACAGCGGCAGGCCACCGTCACATGTCTCCCCACCCTGTCGTCCTGGCCAGAGGCCGGTAACAGCGGCAGGCCACCGTCACATGTCTCCCCACCCTGTCGTCCTGACTAGAGGCCGGTAACAGCGGCAGGCCACCGTCACATGTCTCCCCACCCTGTCGTCATGGCTAGAGGCCGGTAACAGCGGCAAGCCACCGTCGCATGTCTCCCCACTCTGTCGTCCTGGCCAGAGGCCGGTAACAGCGGCAAGCCACCGTCGCATGTCTCCCCACTCTGTCGTCCTGGCCAGAGGCCGGTAACAGCGGCAAACCACCGTCGCATGTCTCCCCACTCTGTCGTCCTGGCCAGAGGCCGGTAACAGCGGCAAGCCACCGTCGCATCTCTCCCCACCCCACTGACGCGGCCAGGGTCACCATGACCAGCAGCAGGGACGACAGGCTGGTGACACGTGGCCCTCCGCCTTTCAGACGACCTCCAGTGACCCCTCGGCGCACATATCGGCCGCGGTTGTCGTCACGGTCAACGCCGTGCCCGGCGTGGTGGGGCTTCGCGTCCAGCTGAACACGCCCCACGAACCCATCCGAGACGTCTCGCTCAGCGTCGAGTACAAGTAAGGAGGACGCGGTGTTCTTGCGTGCACGTACTGCATTCTGCAGCGGTTGCAAAAGGGGACGGTGCTCTTGCGCCCATATACTGCGTTCTGCAACCGTGGGTGAGCCGCAGGCGCTCGCTTCAACAGAGACGCGAAAGCGGTGATAAACTTCGCTTCCATCATACATACCTAGTCCTGTTCTTCCAGAGATGGTGCTCCGTAAAGTTGATTGAGAGGGCCAAAACAGTTTGTCAAAACATCTGTTTTGTGCAAGGGTTATATAAGGAATAACGACAGCAGTTTTGTGAAGAGTTAAGTGGCTTCGGCGACTTATTGACATGAGCCCGACATTGTGTGGCCAAAAAAGCCCGGACGCATGGTCTTTCGGAAGAGTCATAGAGTTACTCTCATGGCTCTTTCCCCATGTTATATATGAAGGCCACCTGCACACGGAAGCCCCGGCATTCCAAACCACATTCGGATAAGTGTCTGGCGTCCGGAGGCCACGGCACGCCGTGCGTGCGCGACGCGCGAGCGAGGCCCCGGCCGGCTGGCGGTGTGGCGGCGGTGGCGCTGACGGCGTGCGCACGACGCCGCCAGGACCGGCACCGACGGCCGCCAGCTGGGCGCCAAGCTGCGCCACCCGCAGCTGACGGCGGAGCTGGGCTCGCGGCTGGCGCTCGTCTCCTGGCGCCACTTCCACGTCGGCCTGAACGGCAAGCTGAACATGGGTCAGCTGGACCTGCGCCGGTCGGTCAGGTCAGTCGATGTCCGAAGAGGCGGCGCTGCACGTGGCCAACTGGTGTTACATGCGTTGTCAATAACGGACTCCACGACTCCGCTTGTCGATGCCTAGGTCCTTGAGACGCTCTGTTGTACAGGTCATGCGTAAAGCTGATCTTCCTTTCAAGCAGGGCATAAAGTTGTTCATAATAATTCATTTAAATTATAGTGCTTCCTTTGCGTGTCGGCATAAAAATTAGTTTAACTCTCATATCTATCATATTTTCTCATCACTTGATGAAATACTAGTGGCAAGCAGTAATACAATATTCGATAAGTGGCAGTTTCAAACGAAGAAGTGCCAATCTGCCGTCAGGAGCGTGCTTAATGCAAGACGTATGATGCATATGTCACATTTATTTATGCATTCCCGCACTTTGAAAGCCTTCTGTAGTAGATCAGTGCCGGTGAGCACGGCTGTCCGGATGATGCTGTGGGTTTGCCTCGGCCTCGAGCAGTCCGCGGATTGTCGGCGGTGTGGCAGTAGTCACACTGCGTGTGTGCCCACTCGCAGGCTGTTCAGCAGCCCGTCAGCCAGCGGCGCCGGCGTCACGCTGGGCGTCGGCTGGGAGCTGGCTTCGGGCGAGGCGCTGGCCGGCTGGGGCCGCTACCACGTGGAGGCGACGTACGAGCTGGCCGCGGCCGGGCTCGACGCCTCGCTGCTCGCCGGCCGCGATGCCGGACGAGACCGCGAGGCGCCGACCGACCTGCGCCTCGGCCTCGACCTCGACTGGTCGGCGCGCGGCGCCATGGGCCGCGCGGTGCTCAGCGCGCACGTGGCAGACAGCGCCTACACCCTGGACGTGGACGTGAGGGCACGGTCCGCGCCGCCCGGCGCCGGTGGCGGGGCGCTGGCGATAGAGCAGGGTGGAATGGTGTAATCGTGTCTGACGCTCACCGACGGACTAGACGCAGTTGTAGAATGTTTGTACAAGGCCCGAGAGCAGCGAACCTAGCTGATCACAGATCGGCGCGTGCCAGCTTACATGATCGGATACATTGCGCTCACCCCTGACTGTAGGCTCCGACCGCCCCCGTGTCACGATCAGACAGCAGCTGTCCGCGATCGTGACGTCACGGGCAGACGGCGGCTGACACGGGGTCGCGCCCCGGCACCCGCACGCCGTGTCAGACCGGGTGCCGCGGCCTGATCGCTGCCCGCCCGCCCGGCCGGCGCTGACCACCGACTCTGCCTACCCTCGCAGTACGCGGTGCGGAGGCCATACTCGGGCGCCCTGCGTCTGGTGCGTCGCCGGCTCGGCTCCGAGTGGGAGGTCACCGCGCGCGGCTCGCTGACGCCCCGCGACAGACGCTGGGACGCGTCGCTCAACCTCACGCTGCCCATCGACGGCTACAAGGCCGTGCGCATGGATGCCGAGTTCACTCAGCCGTCCAGCGCCGTGTATCGGGTCAGGTGAGGCCGACCTCCAGCGCCGTGTATCGGGTCAGGTGAGCCCGACCTCTGCTGGGCAACTGGCCGAATGGGTCAATGGGTGCTTCTCGTCATCCGTTGGTTATGTTTCTCCTTGTCCATATCTCTTATTTTATTCATTTCCCTCACGTTTTGCGCCAATGCCTCCTCCAATTTTCTCCCACCTCTCGCACCCCATGTTTCATTTGAACTACGCTCAAAGCAGCCCATAACACCTGTCGTTCGCTGTGCACGCACGAGCCTGACCACGCCGCCTCAGTTACGCACGTCACCCGCAGGACAACGGCCAAGATTGACCCCGAGTCGAGTTTCTACCAGCGCACTTCGCACAGGCTGGCTGTGAACGCAGACCTCAGCAGCCTGCCGGCGGTGAGCGGCGAACTCAGCTACCTTCACCGCGACCTGGACGATGACCTGGAGCTGAGGAAGTTCACCAGCCAGCTCAGCACCACGTACAGCAGGTACACGATGCAGCGGGCCGTCTGCGGCAGGTGCGGTTGGACCATACGCAGCAAGGGCCGGGCCCGGTGTCTTTCTTTGGCTTTCCACATCACTCACATTTAAAAGTTGTGTGCTTATCATTAACAATGCCTGCCTATTTGTGTACCTCAGCCAAGAAATGGGCTTGAATCTGAAAGGAAATCTGGACTCCGAAAACTACTCTGTAGCGGTCCTTCAGTGGACGGAGGCGCTCAACAAAAACGGAAGACTGGAGATTACAACAACGTTCCCGGCGATCGAAGACTTTTTGGCCCAGTACGGTTTTGAGGTAAGTACTAAGACAACGCGAGGCCAGCTTTCCTTGTAGAAGCCAAGCCAGCCAGTCTCCACCCCATTCTTTCTCTAGCAGTGTTATTTTCTTCCATTGCATTAAAGGATTTTGGTGAGCTGCCTCACCGCTTTGCAATTTTCAGGATTTTTGTCCATTTTTGCCTGTCCTTGGAAACATTTGTTTAGCATTGCTTGCTGACAGGCCACTGTAATATTCCATTTCAGAAGCAATGCTTCATTTCATTTTCATACCACCGTGTAATTACTATTCCATTCTAGAACACAAAATATTTGCTTTCCTTTTACACTGTCATGGAATGTTTAAAGTTCTTCTTTTCTGCATGCAAACCACAAGCTCCATCGCATTTCAACGGCGACAATAATGTGCTAAACATTTATAATTCGCACGTGCCGTTGCTGGCTTAACCCGACACCATGGACTGCGTTGCGCCGCGTGGTGGTTATTTGAAACAGGCCATGCACAAGGCGGCTTGATTTCCCAACCGTAATGTCCATCAGACAGCTGACTGACTCTAACGCGACGCGGGATTGGCGTCAGAGCAATTACCAGTGTTCGTCGAAGGAACATAAAGCCGCCAAAAGCGTTAGCCGGTTTGACCACATGGGTTCAGGGAAGTTGGTAGAAACTATGCACCGGTATGTACTACATGGCTTCATTTGAATTTTCATGTGTATCTTTGCATGAATAAGTTCGTTTTTGTGATAAAAAGGGCTCACACAGGGTCAGTTGTTCTTCTGTGCACTCCCTGCACATCCGGTGCACTCCCTGCACATCCCTTACCAGTGATGCCCTGTTGTGCTGTGATATCACGCCCGACCAGCGCTGTGTGACGGTCTCAGGCCGACGACGGCGACGGCTCCGTGCGAACGACCTTTAGCTCCGTCTACAACCAGAACACGTTGGTGGAGGGCACGTACGTGCTGACGCGGGACGGCGCCGGCTCACAGCGGCACACGCTCGACCTCAAGAATCCGCTGCATCCGTTCGACGCCGAGATGACGTACGCCGTCACTGAAAGCCAGGTAAGTGGCGGCCGGGGGGCAGACCGGCCGCGGCTTCGGCCACGAAAAGATATGCTGCGGCTTTGGCCACGGGCAGACCGGCCGCGGCTCCGGCCACGAAAAGATAGGCTGCGGCTTTGGTCACGGGCAGACCCGCCGCGGCTCCGGCCACGCAAAGACAGGCTGCGGCTTTGGTCACGGGCAGACCCGCCGCGGCTCCAGCCGCAGGCACACACCGCCGCCCGGCGCGCAGTGAGTGCTGGAGTGCGGAGCGCGCCGCCCTGGCCGGTGGTCCACACGGACTAATGTCACTGGCCGTCAGATGCGTGGTGCAAAGGGTAGACGTTGGAAATGAGCTGACTGCAATTGAATGTTGCAGCTTTGTGCGGCACGTAAATGATCCGGGTTCCTGTCTGATGAGAGGGAAAAAGTGAAATTTCTGTTGGACTGGACGGCAAATGTTTGGTGTTGGGTTCACGGTACCCATCATCACTGGGCTTTACAACGCACTCAGCTGCTGAGGTTTGTGAGCGTGCATACTCAAAACCATAGTTACATAATTTGTATCAGTAATCAGTTCTGACTGAATGTTGAACATTTTTTTGAAACAAACATGGCTTGGCCATGTTGACACCAATAGTTGACACATTGCGTTCTACGGTCGCGCGGTCCTTAACTTCTCCGTACTGCCAAGATGAGATTCTGACAAAGCTTTTGAGTTCTATAGGCTTAGAAAAAGTTCACTGGAGCATGGTAAAGTGAAGAGAGCCGGTGATTTATATCATGTAAGCGGTTAACGCACGATTTATTTGGTTGATCGACTACAACGACTTTAATACTGTTCATGACATTCATTCCATTTTGCCTGTTAACGTTTTCAGGCAAAATTGATCTCGCGGTAGCTTCTGGCTTCTATTCCTGTTATGGAAGGTAAAAATAAAAAATGTAAAATTCAGGCCTTCTTGAACAATAGCTTATATTCGGTGATCTATGATCTTCTGCGGGGAGAGTGCTTTCAAGGGAACCTTTGTAAACCGTGTGCACATCCCTTGCCAAGGTTTCGGCTGCACGGCTGTGCTGAAATATAAGACCCAGCGGTTTGGAGCCCTTCATAAAGTCTTCGCCCCCATCCCAAAGTCGGATACGTCGCCTACGTCTGTGTACATAAAGCTCTCTCTCTCTCTCTCCTCTCTCTCTCTCTCTCTCTTCTCTCTCTCTCTCTCCTCTCGTC